GGAGCAGGAAAGCTGACGTTTCGGGGCTAGACCCTTCTTCAGAAAATGACCCTTCATTTTCTGAAGAAGGGTCTAGGCCCGAAACGTCAGCTTTCCTGCTCCTCTGATGCTGCTTGGCCTGCTGTGTTCATCCAGCTCTACACCTTGTCATCCCAGGAACCAGTCTGGTATACCTTTATTGCAGTCCCTCCAAAGCCAGACCATCCTTCCACAGATAAGGAGACCAAAACTGCACACAGTACTCTAGGTCTGGTCTGAACAAGGCCCTGTATAATTGCAGCAAGACACTCCTGCTCCTGTACTCAAATCCTGTTACTATAAAGGCCAAGATACCACTTGCCTTCTTCGTGCCCTGTTTCACCTTGATACTTACTTTCAAAGACCGGTATACAAGATCGCCTGGGTCATGTTGCCCCTCTCCTTTTCTAATGAGTTATCATTTATGTAATCATATGCCTTCCTATTTTTGTTAACAAAGTGGTAACACTTATCCGCATTATACTTAATCTGTTGTGCATAGCCCATTAACTCAACTAATCCAAATCACAGTGAAGCCTCTCTGCATTCATCACACAGTTCACCCTTCCACTGTGCAAACTTAGAGATATTACATTTAGGTCCCTCATTTAAATCACTAATATATATTGTTAACAGCTGGGGTCTAAGTACTGAACCCTATGGTACCCCACTGGTCACTGTCTGCTACTTGGAAGAAGTAGTGATTGTAACAAGGTCAGCCAGGTTGACCTCTTAAAATATGAGTTCCCTGATTGGGGCTGTTAATCTGGTCCAATCAGGGAGTCCTAGCTGACAGATAAAAAAAGCGGTGTCAGACATCCTGCTGACTCTGGGAGCTATCTCTGAGGGAGTTGGACCAGTGTCAAAGACTCTCCACGTGTAAAAAAAGGATGAATTAGTGACATGATACAACCTCTGTGGAATTACTTCAGTGGCAACAAGAGTAAAGCACATTCCTGAACAAACTCGCTCGCAACAGTTGTCTTTGAGTTGGGGTAAGCATTTCTGGCATCATGCCGATATTTGGGAAACTTGACTCGTTCGATCCTGCTATCGAAAATTGGGCCCGGTATGTGGAAAGAATGCGCTATGCTTTTCCAAGCAAATGATAGATGAAAAACGATGAGTAATTCTCCTGACAGCTTGTGGACACACAGGTTTATCAGTTATTAGGAGCCTAACTTCCTCTGAGGCACCAGATACAAAACCTTCCAAGTGCTGACGGATTTATTTCAGGAATAACATGACCCCAAGACTCCTCTAATTCTGAGATGCTACTGTTTTTACTGGACAATTCAAGAACCAGGGGAATCCATGTTAGGATTTTTGACCAGGTTAAGGTGACTGGCAGAGCCATGTGACCTTGGTTTAATAAGTCTTAATGAGATACTGACAGACTGGTTGGTATGTGGGATTAATGATGTAAACATGCAAAAGCACCTAAAGCCTAAGCCCAACTGGACTTCAAACAGGCAGTATAATTGGCGTTAACATTGGAAAATACTGCAAGTGGAGCATATAAGTTGAGGGTATTCTGATGGAAGTAAACAATCTTGCCAGTCCAGTTGAGCTTGGGGAACGCTATGTGTGTGAAGGCAATTGCACAGCCACATTCAGGACATATCCTGAACAGAGGGACTCTCAGTCAGCCCACCACAGAACCCCAAAACAAAGCCAAGCCTCAGCCAAACAGTTAAATTTTTCTTCAGGATCCAGGCTGGCAAGCCATTGTAGTTGCTGCCAGTGTGCAGACCCAAGACAGCGAAAGAATCCCACTAGACCTGGATTGAGTAAGAGAACTCATAGACCAGTAGCCAGAAGAGTGCACACCCTGGAAAGTCCACCTACACCTGCCTTGGGGCAGTTAAATTGTGCAGAAAAATCCAAAATCAGAGCCAATCAAAATAAACATATGGTTAAATGGTCACTCAGTTCTAATGGAGCTTGATACCAACGCGGCCATTTCAGTGATTGCAGATTTTAACAAAATTCACTCTGGACTCCAACCTTTAGGTTTGCGTAAGACCTTGGCTGACTGAGAATGTATACTGGGGAACCCCTACAGATTAAGGGTACGACTTCGGTTCTGGTCTCTTATGAGAAGCAGCTGGTTCAGTTACCACTGATTGTAATAAAAGGCTCGGACCCAAGCCTGATGGGGTGAAATTGGTTGAGAAAGATTCATCTTGATTGGCTCAATGTTTTTCAATTAAAAAATGGCTGCCTGAGTGACGTTCTAACTAAATACCCAAAAGTATCTCAGGAAAGTCTAGGGCCGATCAAAGGAGCCAAGGCCACCTTGTATGTTAACCAGGAAGCAATTCCACGATTCTGCATGGCTCACCCAGTGCCAGTTGCCTTATAGACAAAAGTAGAGGCAGAAATCAGAAGGCTGGAAAGCGAAGGAATCATCAAACCAGTCCAGTTTGCGGAATGGACAGCAGTGGTTGTACCGATTTTGAAGCTCGATGGGTCGTTTTGCTATTGAGGGATTTTAAACAAATGGTAAACCACTTTTCACACCTGGATAAATACCCAAGCCCTCACACAGAGGATTTATATGCAAAGCTGGCAAGGGTTGGGGGGCAGGTGTGGTTTGTCCGTCACAAAGGTGGACATGAGCTATGGGTATTTGCAGCTGAGGTAAGATGAGGATTCCCAGAAGTATGCTACAATTAATACCCATAAGGGTTTGTACCAATATATGAGGTTTGCCTGTGCAATTTTCAGCAGGCAATGGAGAACGTTTTGCAAGGTCCACCCCAGGTTGCCATTTATCGGGATGACATAGTAATAACAGGGAAGACCAATAAGGAGCAATTAGACAATTTGGACATAGTCCTTAGACAGTTCTCCCAGGTGGGTGTACACCTAAAAAAGGAAAATTGTGTGTTTCAGTCACCCCAAATGATCTACTTGGGCTACAGAGTCGACCCAGATGCTGGGTTACACCTGTTTGAAGATAAAGTGAGGCTGATCAATGATGCCCCTGTTACCAGGCCTGTACCAGAGTTTAGGTCTAACTTGGACTGGTGAATTTTTATGGAAAGTTCATATATAACCTGGCCTCCATCCTGGCACATTTGCATCAACTCTAAAAAAAGTCAGCCTTGGAAATGGTTGCATTGTCAAGCCATAACTTTCAGGGAAATGAAGAAACAGCTATCATCATCTAACAATGATCCCAAGCAAGATTTGGTATTGATGTGCAGTGCCTCCCCATACGGCTTTGGGGTAGTATTAACTCGTAGGTGGCCCAATGGAGAGGAACGCCCAATAACATATGCATCCAGGACTATTGTAGACCAAAAATATGCCCAGATAGGGAAGGAAAGTTTGGCAGTCATATTTGAAGTCAAGAAATTGATGGTTCCACCTTCCCCTAAAGGCATTCTGAAATAAGCAACCTTACAGATGGGCCATAAATTGATCACTAAAGTTAACATGAATGACCAGGACTGACTCTGTTCTCTAGTTGATGCAAACTGCTTCAGAAAAACACACCTTCAAATCTACATGTTTGATCAAGCTGGTGACCTCTTGTCCTAACATCTCAACATGTGCCTTTGTGACTCAAATATGCTTCTTTACAGAACCAGGAGCCGATTTTACTTTGTTAATACTGCTACATGCAACCATTAATTTTATAAGTTTGATTCCTTATAAACTTAAAAGTACTTTTAATTCACTTGCTGAAAAGTTCTTTCTTCCTTTCCCTGTTAAACAGCTTATGTGACATTGACATGTGCATTCCGATATGGAAGGGAAGATTTGGATGTCATGGACCTTAGTTTCCAAAAGGATATTTACAGTGAGACAATCCAGGTCTATCCACCCATTGCAGGCAACAAAATGCCACTGACTCCACTGCAGGAGAGGCTGGCTAGCAAACTGAAAGAGAACTGCTACCCTTTCATCTTCCAGGTACGACTGTAATGGCACCAGATGTTCCTCGTTGTTATCAAAAACGTCAGCTCTGGTAACTAACCCAGAATTATGGATTTCCCAGGTTTCCTCCTAAAATTAACTCCAGGATTTTTTTTTCCAATATTTCCTCAAAGTTACGACCTGCCAGTTCTGCTATCATTCTAGTAACTCCTTTTTGAACCTTCTCCAATGCTTCCCTTTTCATAATGGAGAGACCAGAACTGTGATCCAGTTGTGGCACGGCCAAGTTCTGAGCAAATATGACAGCAGGATCTGCCATTTTTACATGCATTTTGACATCTGGAGTTATGGCTTATCATGGGAGAGACTCTAAATCTCGTTCCTTCACATGACAGTCTCTCACTCATACTGCCTGCCTTTGACACATGTTGGAAAGATTTACTGTTTGATCCTTGACCTGTTGGGTCCCATTATGGATGCACTGTCGTTAGCTCTTAGACCCTGAGGTGGGACTTGAAGCATAACCTTCTGGCTCATGGGCACATAAATGACCCACTGCTGATGGGAGATGGGAAGACCCTGACTGAATATCCTGTGGAATTTCCCAGTGAGGTTGCTTTGAGTGGGATTCTCAATTACAGAGAGCTTGATTACCAGGAGTAGAAAGCCTGAAAGAGCAGATAATTGCAGGATCTAGCAGAGATTCTGGAAGGATTTTGGTGGTACATGGCAATTTGTCATCCTGGGACATAGATTATGGGGGTTGTGTATACAAAGCAAAAATACAATGAATATTAAAATGAAGCCATGCAGCCTCATTGTAATATTGAAATGACCAACATTCCTGTGAGCGAACTTTCCATCTGCCTCTTGTTCTACCTCAGTCACAACTGCATTTGAGATGGGCTTAGTTCCTGTCATGGTTTGTTGCATTCACCCTCAGATCTGACCCCAGCTCTACCTGTTTCTGGGACTTAAGGTTCATCCTCTTATTTTCTGAGAAATCTGTAGAATCATAGAACGATGGTAGGATAGACCATTCAGCTCATTCTAACCTCCGTATTTTTCTTGCCAAAATGTACCACCACACACTTCTTTACATTGAAATGCATTTGCCAATCACAAGTCTAGTTTCCAAGTTTACGATCGCCTTTCAGCATGTCATCAAGAACGTTAACCACAACCCATTAGCTAACACCTCATCTAACTAGATAGGTAAGCTGCTGCAGTTGCTGCTTATAGCTGCAAGTGCTAGGAGATCTACTTTTCGTGGTTTGTCACTCTTCTCGAACTTGCAACATCTTTGTATATTCACTGTTGCTTGTTTGTAGCCACTCCGTCATTTGGCTAGACTTCAGTTGACCCCACATTTTGCTGCCCGCCACTTTGTCCTCAAACAGAGATCTCTGCAGCTTTTGAGTTCTGATAGAATGATTTTTTAACAGATCACTTTTAAAGGATTTAAATTACCTCAGCTTTCTACATCTGCTGTAGTTTATGTGAGAACCGATCCCTTGTAACTCATGATTTTAACTCGAGGTCTGTTAATAATCTAAACATAATAAACTACTTACATCTTTAATGTGCATGTCTTGCAGACTTGTATTGATCTTTGTCTTTAAGGAAGACCAATTTAGTTTAGTAATTCTTAACATTTAATGGCTCAGAAGAGTTTTTTTTTAAATAGTCTTGGTGTCCCAAGTACTATAATTTGAAACAAAAACAGATAATGCTAGAAAAAATTCAACATGTCCGGCAGCATCCATGGAGAGAAACCAGAACTGATTCTGAGAAAGAGTTATGCAATCTGAAATGTTAACTCTGATTTCTCTCCACTGATGCTGCCAGACCTGCTGACCTTTTCCAGCAATTTCTGTTTATGTTTCTGATTTACAGTATCTGTCGTTCTTTCAGTTTTTATTGACCATAATTTGAAGGTCATTTTGAAACTTATTTTGCTTTGAAATGGTTTAAATCTTTCCAGATCCCTCCAAACCTGCCATGTTCAATCACCTTGCAGCCAGGATCAGAAGACCATGGAAAGGTAAACATAAATTTTGTGAAATATCACCTGGGTAGATACATTGGACAAAATGAGTCATTCCCTATTGACAATGAAGAAACATGGGTTGGGGATGAAGAATGATCTTCAAACTCCACCTATAGTAGGGAGCAAGTTGACAAAGTGACTGCATCTCCTCCTCAACGTCAGCATCTTAGGTCTGAATATTAATAGTCTTGCACCTACTTTGATTGCACTCTCCAGATGGGGTTTTGCCATAGTTCAGGCAGCATTGACCAGATGCTATACTGAGCTGGCTGACAGGCCAGGTCTGGGCAATGCCTGGAGCGGGTAGGAGAGAAGAGGATATGGAAGATAATGATTGCGTGCCAGGGTTGTTTCTAAGTTCAAAGAGATCAATAATAGAAGTTTTCTGAGTCATTCTGAGAGCAACCTCCAGCCGTCCCTTTTTGGACCAATGGATTAAGATTCACAAATTTTATAGACCCGGTGCAACACTCTTAGTGTCTCTTTGCCCCTGAATATTGGCCCTGTCTTTGCATAATTTCACCATCACCAGTTTCTGGTGGAATGTTTCTTGCTCAATTTCAGCCCTGCGGGGAACTAGCATCAGACAAATTTTGTCGCCCAATAGAATGTCTGAGATGCAGCATTACCCTATCCCTCTTGATACTGAGCCGTTGGGCACATGCCTTCCCATGCACAATAGGTGGTCAACCGCTGAACGTTGGTCCCAGTGTGTCTATAATTGAATTATATTGAGAGAAATACAGCGAGAACAAACAATGTTAAAACATTTTAGTTTCACCAACAGTGAACAGGAATTTATCTCCACAACAGTTACACTGGAATCAAGAGCAAAAAGTTTCAATTGTTACCACAATCGTCCATCATAAAATTGAGGGAATGTTGGCCGTATGCCTGTATCTATAGTTACAAGCCAATGACCCAGAACGTTTTTAGGCAAACCACATTTTCTTGACTGCATTTGAACTATTAATTTTTTCTTTTGTAGAAGCTGTTACAGACATGTGATATTTTTAATTAGCTTCTGCTAGGTTTAGGATACAGAAAGGTTGTATATGAGCATTCTCAAAACCACTAGAGAGCAATCAACAGTCAAGACACATTATTCAATCATACCCCTTGGCATAGCAACAGGCAGAAACAAATGCTTCTTGTCCTCTCTTTTTACACAATTTACATTTGCCCTTTTCTTCCTGATGTGTTTTCATGCCGGGTTTCAGTTTAAAATGAATTGATTAATCATGAATAACCTAATCCTAGTCACGTACAACTCCTGACAATGAGGACAAGACAGACCAATCTGTTCCTAAACACTTTCCAGTGGCTTTGGAACCAATAAGCCCAGATGCATAAATAAGAACACAGAATCGTAGAATCATTACAGCGCAGCAAGATGACATTTTTTATTTATTGTTTAATGGGATGTGGGTATCACCAGCAAGGCAATACTGTTGCCCATTCCTAATTGCTCTTATACTGAGAGATTTGATATATCATTTCAAAGGGGCGTTAAGTGTCAACGACTCTGCTGTGGAGCTAGACTTACATGTAACCGAACTGGGGTAGGAATGGCATGTTTCCTTCCCTGAAGGATGTTTGTGAACCATATGGTTTCAACAACTACCAATAGTTTTATGCTCACCATGACGGAGACAAGTTTCTAATTCTAGAATTATTAATAAAGTGAATTTAAATTCCAACATCTGCCGTAATGGGATTTGAAGCCATATCACCAGAATGTTAATCTTGGGTCTTCCCAGATCACTGCACCAGTGACATTACCACTGCACAACCATTAAATCCATTGAGGCTGGAGCAGCTCCCTTCAAGAGCAATTCAGCTAATCCCATTCCCACAAGCTTTCCCAGTAACCTGACTTTTTAAAATGCCTTCAGGTTCTTAACCAATCTCTTTGGAAAATCCATGATTGAATGGGCCTCTGTAGTGCATTCAGGCAGTGCAGGCCAGGTTGTAAATTTATGATGTAAAGCATTTTTCTTCATGTCTGCATTGCTTCTTTTGCCAATCACCTCACACCAGTGCCGTCTCAAGCTTGACCTTTTCACCACAAGGAATTCATGGGGGGAATGTAACTCACATGAAAATGAGGGAGACAGAGCTGGAGTAATGTAAGAATGGAGGAATAGGAGTGCATTCCTTTCCTGTGAACAACTCCGCAGTCATTCACAAAGATCAACAGCTCCATCTGCTGATTGGTAAATAAAACACTGGATATTTAATCCCTTACAAGTTTTTTGCCTTGAAGAAGGCTTTTCTCTTGGTTGAAGCGGCATTGAAAGCTTGTAGCCTTTACTGTTTGGTAACATTCATTAATCTGTATGGATAACATCAAAAAAGATATCTGTATTATACTTTCTACCCACCAGGTTATTTCTTGTGTTAAAGTTGCATCAATGAATTAGTGCAACATCGTATTTTACAAAGAATGTCAACATTATGGAGGAGGTAGGCATGGACGACATTAACACTGTACAGTCTACTGGTGCCATTAAAGACCTCTGTCACAAACATGGCACCTGTTGGTGACACACACGTATATCAGCGTTAAAGCAATTGCTCTTAGCTTTTGAAGAAATAGTTATGTTTCATGGATTCACTCCCAAAGCTTGGCTGGACAGTTGGCTTGCGATGTAGAGTGATGCCAACACTCTGCAGGTTTCAATTCCTGCACTGGCGAGAAGCCCTATGGTTGGCAAGACTATGGCCATCTTACTTCCAAAAACATCACTAAAATTCTGCCAAGTGCAAAAGCACTCTAAAGTTATTTTAAGTGTGCTCCCCATTATTTGGTAAGTAACACTACTCAGTCCAGCACAGAATAAACTAAACTCCAGGTCGAGAGCTCAGCAAATGTTGCAAAGTAGCAGCACACCATCTCAAAAATAAAACTCAGCCATGTGTTGTGCTATAAATAGGTATCTGTAAACCAGAGCAAAGGAGCTGAGGGCTTCAGTATCACAGAAATCTAAAATATCTGGTTTTCAGCTAACAACACATTGATCATTCTTGCAGATAGAACAATCGGAAAGTTGTGACACAGGTTAGAGCAGGGCAGGGGAAGAAATGAGAATTGGAGTAGATTTTGACTTTGTGGATTGATGGAGTAGCTTGTACTTCTTCTCCTGATTTTCTTTGAATTTTTTTTTTGGGAATAAAAGATTGGGAAAGATGTAGAACCAGTTTCAGACATTCTGTCACTGTTTCACACTGTCACACAAAATGAAGATCTACACCAACGACTCTTTAAATGCTGTCCCTTTACAGAAATGGACCTGATCCTGTCTATTTCCTACACTTTCTGAGGGTCAGGGTTGCAGTAAACATAATCCAAAATGTTAAAGCGCAGTCAGTATCCATCCTGGGGACAAGAAAAGGCCTCACATCAAATAACATATTGGCATATTTTGTGTTATTATGACATATTGCCATTGAATGGTAACTTGTGTGGATTACAGTTTGATTAATAGTGTTAGCTTAAAAGCTTAATAATTAAGGAAGGGCAATGACCTTTTTAAAATAATTGGTGACTTAACGTTATCCTAGTTAGTGTGAACTAAAATGCATCTTACTTCTTTTACAGGCCTGTGGTGTGGACTTTGAGGTGAAAGGATTCTATGCAGATAACCTGGAGGAAAAGATTCATAAAAGGTACAGCTACTTTTACCTTCCTAATTGCTAACACCGCAAAACAGGCAATCATCTCCCTACAATGACGGTGAAAGCTCGAGGGAAAGAAGCCCACAAATCGGAATGCATCCTTAAAAATCTCACAGAATTTAAGTTAAGCATACATGAAATCTTCTAATGAACCAATGCATATTTTTACTTTTCCTTTCTTTTCCTCACTGTCACTTAGATTTCATTGGCAATGTAGACCAGTTGCTTCTGATTTTTCTGGTGTCCTAAATTCTCTTTATTGGTATCAGTGGGCATGCAAAGGATAATTCAATGCTGAATGAGTGCAACTCCAACAACATTCAAGAAGCTTGAAATCATCCAGGATAAAGCAGCACATTTGATTGACACCACATCCACAAACATTCACGTCCTCCATCACCAACACTCAGAACTGCAAGGTACACTGCAGAAATTCACCAAGGCTCCTTAGGCAGCACTTTCCAAATCCATGACCTCTACCACCTAAAAGGACAAGGGCAGTGCATAGCATTACCACTTGTAAGCTTCCCCTCCAAGCTATTCACCATCCTGACTTGGATAAATATTGCTGTTCCTTCAGTGTTGCTGGGGTAAATCCTGGAACTCTTTCCATAATGGCACTATGCCTGCACCTTCTGCATGTCCATAAAGACACTCACCAACTTATATTGATGCACCATAGAAACATTCTATATGGATGCATCACAGCTTGGTACAACTGCTCTGCCTAGGACCCTAAGAAACTGCAGAGATTTGTGACCACAGCCCAGTCCATCAAGCCAGCCAACCTGCCATCCATTGACTCCATCTACACTTCTCGCTGCCTCAGAAAGGCAGCCAACAACATCAAAGACCCTTCCCATCCTGGTTATAATCCCTTCTAGTCTCTTCCGTCAGGCAGAAGATACAAAAATCTAAACATACCATATACCAACAGGTTCAAGAACAGCTTCTTCCCCGCAGTTATTAGACTTCTGAATGGACCTCCCACATTTCAAATCTAACATTGATCTTGCTTTTTGTGGTGCCTTCTTTGCAGCCATAACATTGTATTCCTCACCCTGTTCTATCACCCTATTATCTTTGTATTGCATGCAAAACAAAACTTTTCACTGTACCTAGTTATATGTGACAATAATAAATCAAATCAAGATCAAAAACCAGCATCAAATGGTCTGCATTGGTTCAAGAAATGAGTCACCACCACATTGTCAAGCTCCTCTAGAGATGAGCAATTAATGCTGGCTGAGCCAGTGATGGCCACACCCTATAAGTGAATAAAAAAGCTGTACACCCAGAGTTCCTTTAGGAAGGGGACTCCATGGCTTTGGCCTAGTGATAATGAAAGGTGACTGATTTGATCAGAATGGTGTCAACAGCAATAAGTTTGATTGTGATTCCAGCTGGAATTACTTTTAGACCTGCCCCCTTACCCTCTCCATCATGGAGTTTGTAGCATCATGGGTCATAACTACCTTTAGGCAGATAAAGGAAGAAAAATATATGTCAAACAAATTGTTGTCCAAGTACTGTCACTTTCCACAGACAACAGTATAAATCTATCTGGCCTGTAATCATTCATCACTATTGTCTGTTTTCAGTTTCTTAACCAAGTTTATTCCATATTCCAACTGTCTGTTTAATTCATGGACTTTTACATGAGGAGGTTTCTAAATAAAAGTAAATAAATAGCAGATTTACAGTCATAGATTTGAGCTTCCTCCTTCACACAGGGAAAATAGTGTTCCTTATTCTCAGATTTAAATCAATTCCAATTGTGATTGCATCATTTAATGATTAACCTGAAAATCTAGCATTAATTACATTTAGATTTCTAGCCTAACTTGATTTTCATAATACTTTGCAAGTCCCGATGAAACCTCACGAGAGGAAATCTGATTTAAGTGGTGGGAACTGTTAAAGGCAAGTGTCAGAAATGAGGAGATTGGTAAATTGCTTCAATCCCCTACCAATGGGCTCACAATCTTCAAGGGTGTCCATGTGAACAGAATGTGCTAGTAGTATTTTTGAAAAGGAGTTGAGAAAATTAGAGCAAGGGAGAAACTTTGAAAACTGAGCACCAATGATCAACACACATTTCTCAGTGCTTTATAACTTATTCACTTCATTCAGGTGTGAATCGGACTTAAAGTTAATTTCCTGTGGCATGGTGACATTAATGTGTCATTTTGCTTCGTGTTACAGGAATTCAGTGAAGTTGGTCATCCGCAAGATCCAGTACGCCCCAGAGAAAAGCACAGCGCAGCCCAAAGCAGAAATAACTCGGCAATTCCTCATGTCAGACAAGCCATTACAACTGGAGGCATCGCTTGACAAAGAGGTCAGTTTGATTATCTCTTAGACAGTGGCGATGCCAGCAAACAGGACGGTCACCAAAATCATCTGGATTATAGCTCAGGGTGACTACCACAGTGTAATTGCTCAATTTGTAGCATGAGAGCTTATGAGTCAGAAGCCTGACTCTTGAAGCCCTACTTGAGCACAAATTCTCAATCAAAGATAAGGCTGAAGTATTTGCAGCAATCTTCAGCTGGAAGTGTGAAGTGGATGATCCATCTTGGCCTCCTCTAGTGGACCCAGTTGCTAGTCTTAGGTCAATTCGATTCACTCCCTGTGACATAAAGAAATGGTTGCAAGCATTAGATACTGCCAAGGCTGTGGGCCCTGACAACATTCCGGCAATAGGACTAAAGATTTGTGCACCATAACTTGCCGCTCCTCTAGTCAAGCTATTCCAGTACACTCACAATACTGGCATTCACCTGATAATCTGTAAAATTTCCCAGGTATGTCCTGTTACACAGAAAAGCAGGATAAATCCAACACAACCAAATACCAGTCGGGCTATTTTTGATTGTCAATAAAGTGATGGAAGGTGTTATCAACAGTGCTATCAAGCAGCACCTGCTCAGAAATAACCTGCTCAGTGACATCCAGTTTGGGTTCCGCCAGGACCACTCAGTTCCTGACCTCATTACAGCCTTGCTTCAAACATGGACAAAGGGCTGAAATCCAGAGGTGAGGTGAAAATGGCAGCCCTTGACATCAAGTCTACATTCAACTGACTGTGGCATCAAGGAGCTGTAGCAAAATTGGAATCAATGGGAAATCAGGGGGAAACTGTCTGCTGGTTGGAGTCATACCAGCACAAATGAAGGTGGTTGCGGTTGTTAGAGGTCAGGCAGCTCAGCTGTAGGACATCTTTGCAAGAGTTCCTCAGGGTAGTGTCCTGGGCCCAACCATCTTCAGCTGCTTCATCAATGACGTTCCCTCCATCATAAGATCAGAAGTGGGGATGTTTGGTTAATGCAGAATGTTCAGAACCATTCACGACTTCTCAGATTCTGATGCAGTCTGTGATCAAATGTGACAAGATTTGGACAATATCCAGGCCTGGACTGACAAGTGGCAAGTAACATTCATGCTACACAAATGCCAAGCAATAACCACCCCCAATAAAAGTCAATCTAACCACTGTCCCTTGATATTTGATGGTGTTACCATCACTGAATCACCTGTTATCCAAATCCTGAGGGTTCCATTGACCAGAAACTCAATATAAATACAGTGGCTCAAAGAACAGGTCAGAGAATAGATAACTTACAAGTAGATAACAGTAAGTAATCTATTTCCTGATTCCCCAAAGCCTATCCTCAATCTACAAGGCACAAGAAAGGAGTGTGATGAAGTAATCCCCACTTGTCTGAATAGGTGCAATTCCAACATCATTCAAGAAGCTTGACACTATCCAGGACAAAGCAGCCTGCTTGATTGGCATCACATCCATAAGCATCCAGTTCCCCCACATCCCATGACTGAATTAAAAAGAACATTTTTTTGGAGAGCTGCAGAGTTGGAGGAGTTTTTTTTTTCAAATGAGATATTAAACTGTTCTGAGGATGGGTCATTGGATCCGAAACGTTAACTCTTTTTTCTCCTTCACAGATGCCTCCAGACCTGCTGAGCTTTTCCAGCAACTTTGTTTTTGTTCCTGATTTACAGCATCCGCAGTTCTTTTGGTTTTTATTAAACTGAGGGGCTATCTTTCCCTGCTTGTTAACCCTGTTTCGAAGAATATCAAAGGATTTTTTTCCTGGTGAGTTAGCCAATTCTTAACCCTCAAAAAATCACTAAAAATGATGATTGAGTTATTATTTTCATCTGGACCCTTGCTGTGTGCATATTTCCCACATCACAACAGTGACTACACTTAAAAAATAATTAATTGACTGTAAAGCACTTAGGGACATTCTAAGGTCAAGAAAGGCCAGATATGAATAGGAGCTGTTCATTTTTTAAGCCTTGGCTGAAATTATCAGTCTTGTGTTTGTTGTGCCTATAGGATCAATTTTGACCCAAATGTGGAGAAGATTAAATGATACGTTGCTTTAGACTAAGCTGGTATGACTCTTGGTCATAGGTTGTGTAACACACACTGGTCCTTTGAGCCAGTGAACCTTTGAGCCAACAAACTATTGCCTCCCATTGGCTGCGTCTGACTTTCAGAAGTGCATTGGGTATTGGGGTGAGGGGTGGGCAGATGCGGAGCCAGTGCAAGCCACCATTCAATATTCAAGAGTTTTCTGTCTTTGTTCTGCCAATTACATTCGCCCCAGACATTATCTAAGTGGTACATTAATCCAAGTAAGTGTAATTTCCAGTATTGCACATTATCAAGCTCAGGAATTCTGCAAATGCCCACAAAGGCAATAAAAGATATCTTTCAATCCATTTTTTCCGGCAAATGTATTTACATTTGTATAAAGCAGGAAGCAAAGCATTAAAATAATCCCTTTTAATTTAATCAGTGGGATGGAGGACAGTGCTGGATGATCCTTTGTTAAGTAATAATCCCTCTGCTATCTGCAGACTTTCCTAGTCCTGTACATTATCAATCCAAACCATAGGGAATAGAATTGGAACTTAAATATATTTAAGCCCTGATGAAATTACTGATGTAAAAATGTTTACATAAAATGCGAATATTGGTACAAACTAATGCATCTGGCAAATTCAAAGGGGACATAGATCCTGAACAGCTTGCACAAAATGCTAGACAATTGGTGGAGGATGTGTTATGATATTGGGCCTGGTCTGTAATTGGCAATTAATATTCATGGGGCACCTAAGCTAAAAAAAAACCTGGAGTTCATAATGAATTGCATTTTTAAGGATTAAATAGTCAAACTAATAACGACTGCCTTGTTGCTCAATTCATTTGTTTTGGTCTTTAAAAAGTGTCGGAATATTTAAGAAATAAAATGACCTTTTTCACCGAGTAGCTTATCCAGTTACTTAAGGATCATCAGTCGCACGCAGCACATGCCATCGTTTCACTATAGGGCAGTGTGAGGCAGCAGGTCTCAGGTCCACATCAGCTCAAATGGGGAGTGGGGATTCAGCTCCAAGCTATTGATGTTCTGAACCTCGAGGTAGCTATCTGGCCAATGAAACTAACCAGCCCACCAGTCACATGGCATTGAAAATGATGGAAAACAAGTTAAGTATTTGCCGTGGAGACAAAATTGCAGGTGGAGGTTTCTATATGTCTGCTGCCTCATCTGAATGGTTGAGGTCATGAGTTTGGAAGATGCTGTTAAAGAAGGTTTGAGAAATTTTGGCAAGTAGTTGGATACATTCTGCATTGATGATAGTGGAAGTGAATATTTAAACTGATAGATGGGTGTCTATCAAATCAGTTGATTTGTTCTGGGTGTTCTTTGTCCTTTTGACTATTATTAGAGTTGCACTCCAATAGGCAAGTGGGGAATTTTCCATCATGTTCCTGACTTGTGCCTTTTATCTGGTGGACAGGCTTTGGGAAATTAAGAGGTGAATTACTCACCATAGAATTTCTAACCTTTGATCTGTTCTTGTAGCCGGTGTTTATATGATTGGTCCTGTTCAGTTTCTCAATGGTACCACCCTGGATGTTGATAGTGAGGGATTCAGTGGTTGTGATGCAATTGAATGTCAAAGTGAGTTAGAGATTGTCGTTAGCTGGCACTTCTTTGGCATGAATGTTACTGGCTACTTGTCAACACAAGATGGAATGTTGTTTAGGTCTTGCTACTGTTGGCATGGAGTGCTGCAATATCCGAAGAGTCTCAAATAATAATGTACATTGTGCAATCATCAATGAACATCCCCACAAGATGGAAAGAAAGACAATGATGAAGCAGCTGAAGAAGGTTAGGCATAGGATGCTAGCCTGAGGTGGTAGGGTCTCTTGTGTTGCAGTGGAAGCATCCCAACTTCTGAGTCAGAAGGCTCACATTCAAGTCCCACCTCTTCCAAAAATGTATCATTATGTCTGAACAGGTTGGTTAGAAAGTACTTAACCCGGGGATCTGCTGCAGTGATGTCCTGGGACTGTGAAGAATGAACAGTCACCTCCATATTCCTTTGTGCCAGGTATGACTGCATCCATTGGAGAATGTTCTTATTGACTGCAGTTATGCTCGGCACCTTGATGCTGCACACAGGGAAATTCTGCTTTGATGTCAAGGGCAATCACTTTCACCTTGCCTGTGGTGGTATGCGCTTTTGTCTGCGTTTGGGCCAAGGTTGTAATGAGGTCAGAGCTGAGTGATCCTGGTGTAACCCAAATTGGATGTGGATGAGCAGTTCATTACTGTGTAAATGTCACCAGATAGCACTGTTCACATCACTTTCCATCACTTCTCTGTTGATTGAGATTAAGCTGATGGGGCCATAATTGTCTGAATTGGATTTATCCTATTTTTGGTGGACAAGTCATGCCTGAGCCATTTACCACCATACTAGGTAGATGTCACAGTTGTAGTTTTGCTACTAACATAGGAACTGGTGATTGGCCTGGCAACAATGAGTAGCAAATAGTTAATAATTAGGATGTTTATCTTGAAGAAGGGGAGAACTCTGTCAGAACCTTTCTGATGGTGGACTGGACTCCTACTTAGTGTCAGACCCAAAGTAGACTGAGGCCAAGGGCTAATGTAGCAAAAAACTCCACGTCCCAAAGAAAGGGCAGCAGGCAGAAAAAGCTGCTTTCTGATTGGGTCTGCAGCCTCAAGAACCATATCCACTTTCCTTAATTGGCCATTGGACACACAGCAGTCCATTACAAACTACTTCCTGGAAAATTGCATCAATTCCTAAAAATTAACAAACTCCAAAAGATGCTGCCCAATTCCTCCCTCCCTAATTCTACCACCATCAATTTAACTCCAGAACCCTCTTATGTTATTGTTAAACGAATACCCACTCTAAAGGGGTGGCTGGAAACAGCAAGATGTCAAAACTGGTAATGAACACCACCCCTGAGCATGCTGGGGGCATTGTGGCAGTGTCTCCCAGGTGGTAAGATGTGAAGCCCAAGACAGCAGATGCTCAGCCTTCACTTACTGTGTCATTCTTGCATATACTGGGCTCCACCAAATCTAGCACTTAGCTTCTAGCTGTGGGCCAGTTTTACTGAACACTATATTGGTAACTTATGCTTAATTGCTGCTTGCAGCTGTCTAAACTTCGGTGAGGCCACATTTGGAATATTGCATTCAGTTCTGGTTGCCACACTACCAGAAGCATATGGAGGCTTTGGAAAGGGTACAGAAAAGGTTTACCATTGTGTCACTTGGTTTGGAGGGTATTAGCTATGAAGAGAGATTGGACAAACCTGGTTTGTTTTCCCTTGAACGTCAAAGGATGAGGAGCATCCTGATAGAAGTTTACAAAATTATGAGAGGCATGGATAGTCAGACTCTTTTTCCCAGGATAGAAATGGCAATTTTTAGGGGACATGGCTTTAGCTTAAAAAGAGGAACGTTTGAAGGAGATGCGAGAGGCAAGTTTTTTTACTCAGAAGGTGGTAAGGAGCCTGGAATGCACTGCCAGAGTAGGTGGTGGAGGCAGATACAACAGCAACAATTACGAGGCATCTTGACAGATATATGAATAGGCAGGGAATAAAGGGATATACACCACCCAGGAGTAAAAGGTTTTTAATTTAGAAAGGCATCATGTGTCGTGGACAAAGAGCCTGTTCTTGTCTTTACTGTTCTTAGTTTGTTCTTTGTTCTTTACATATGATGATAATACTAATAATCATAGAATTCCTATTTTCTTAGATTCATGAGTCAAGCAAATTCCTCAGCCACCTGAAACAGAGTTGAATTTGAGAGGTGACAGAAGGGGTGGGGTGCAAGGTTATAAGTTTCCAGAGGCACTTTCTTCTGAATGTGAGAGTTCAGTTCTTTAATCTCACTATAATCTAACTGGTATGTTTCGAAGAATTGAACAGCACAGCCTGCTAAATAAAATGCTTTGCACAAAGTCAACAGCACTATACAAGCTGAATATGATTCCTTTACAGATGTATTATCATGGCGAACCTCTCAAAGTCACTGTCCACATTAACAATAACACAAGCAAGGTGGTGAAGAAGATTAAGTTATCCGGTAGGTACAACTTCCTCATTTATATCATTGTATTGGTTTTCTATGACATGAACACCCTTCTATGCAAAGCATGACGCCACAGTTGCAAATTTAATACATACCGTCTGGTGGAAACTGAGGGTCTGGTTAAAATGAAGTTAGTGATGCCCACTGGGGATTGTGTTCCTGCTGTGACCAGATGTTAACTTGAACAGAGTTACCCTTCTTGGGTAAAGTCAAGCTCCAACTTTAAAGGTGTACATAGACTCTTCAGAACACTATCTGCAATTATAGAGTCCTGGGAGCTACAGACCTCAGACCTCATCAGATCAAATCTGGTTGAGGGGAGATCATGAGGCCAGAAGAGGCACAGCAGGATAGCTAATTTAAATTTGATTTTAGTTGCCCGTGTAGGTCAAGAGGGGCAGGAGTCCTTTCCAACCCTCACTGGACCTCAGTTGTCTACCCCCACCCCTAATCCCATCATGGCAGACCTAATCATGTTGAGCAGGTAATTGTATCGTAATGAGAACTATCTAGTTTCTAGTGAGTGGCTAATGCATTATGTAGCCCAGATAAGCTTGTATTCACTATCCTGACTATATGTGATCTTAATCATAGAATCCCTACAGTGTGGAAGCAGGCCATTCAGCCCATCAAGCCCACACAGACCCTTGGAAGAGCATCTCACCCCCTACCCAATCCCTGTATTTCCCACCCTAGACTCTATGGGCAAGTTAGCATAGCCAATCCACCTAACCTGCACACCTTTGGATTGTGGAAGGAAACCGGAGCACATGGAGGAAACCCATGCAGCCTATTAATATACTTGCAAGCTTTATTAATTGCTTCATCCCATTACTGACACATTGTCTGTGTTAAGTTGTTTGAGTCATCTTGCAAAAATTCCATTCATTTTGCAATAGCATTGAATACTATTTTGTTCTACTAATCTGCAACCTTTTGTTTGCGCGTGTCAGTAAATTACTGTGTGCTCAAAAACATTCTCCCAGGTGGTTTAGGGGAGTTAGAACATGATCAGAATCCAAAGTGTGGAAACCAAGACAGGAAAAGGATAGACAGTCAGTAGCAAAACACACAGACAAAGCATATTTCTCAACATTTGATTAGCTGTGGGACCTTACTGATATTGTGCTATGAGTGTTCTCTGTCAGCTACTGCAAGTTACATTGTCATCTTGTCTAATCAGTTGATCAGATCACAGATGTAGTCCTCTATCAACTTGACAAATATGCAAAGATGATATGCTCGGAAGAACCAAAGTAAGTTGCAACTATTTCGTGAAATTAATCAGTTCAGTGCTCTGTCACGGTGTTTTGCGTGTAATTGCGTACATGCATATATCTATACGTCTATATGTGTTTTTGCACTTTAGACTCTGTACTATAATTAGATGCATTTTAGTTGCGGAAGTAAAATGTGATGTGGCACAAAACTCATTTCATCTCAATGCACTACACTGAACTTTATCAGCTTTCTCTACACCTTTTACAGTGCAATGCTTCCTCAATAATGTAATGGAGTGTCACCCTACATTTTAATATTCAGACCTTAAGGTGGGAAGCTGTCATATGTGGGCCAGTCTGGACAACAGATTGTCATCCTTAATGCTAGAACACCAGATGAGATTTTTAGAAGAAATTAATGGTAGTCTTATGATCACTAATTATTTCTTTTTATTACAGAATTAAATGAATTTAAAATCAACAAGCTGCTATGGTGGGATTTGAATCTCTATCCACAGACCATGAGTGTGGGTCTCCGAATTGCTAGTCTAGGTGCGGCAGTCCCCTCTGATACAAGTGTCCATATTGTTGTATGGGGATAGAACCACAATGGTGGAGTGGTGGGAAACATAGGGATTTAGCTTAATTGTATCTTTGCAGATGGAAAAGAAGAAAGAGAAAGAGAGTTGTATTCAGTTAAATGTAAAGAACAAGTTGTGAACAGGGTTTTCATTTGGTTTTACACATCAGAGCAAGTTATAGTAAAAGTAGGGGAAAAATTGCCTGGAAATCCCTAGAATTCATTTGTGTGAGGACTGAGATAAAAATTCCTTTAATCGTTATGTAATAGAGGTGCCCCCAGGTTGTCTACCACAAGACTATTAATACAATATTATGGTGATTTCACCATAACAACTATCAGCATTCTGCATCTAAATGTTTTAAAACCAGTTATTTGAAAGCAGCATATTAATTGATATTGATTGTCTATGTTCATTTCTCTGAATGACTTTTGAGAGAAGGGCAAAACTCATGTTTCATGATGTTTGGATGTTTCAGGTGTGATAGAAAAGAATGGAAAGGGTAGGGGGATTGCGTTACTGACTAAGGGAAATGTCAAAGCTGCAAGAAGAGAGGACATCTTAGGCAGCTCATCCAAAAAGGCAATATGGGTAGAACTCGGGAATAAAAAATATGCAGTCACAATGATTGGGTTATATTGTAGGCCTCCCAGTAGCCGGTAGGAGATAGAGGAACAGCATGCATGCAGATCTTGGAAAGATGTAAAAACGACAGGGTTATTGTGGTGGGTGATTTTAACTTCCGTAATATTGACTGGGACTCCTTTAGGGCCAGGGGCTTTGATGGGATAGAATATGTTAGGTGCATCCAGCAGAGTTTCTTGAAACAATATGTAAATAGTTCAACTAGGGAAGGGACTGTACTAGAGATTTTATTGGGTAATGAATCTTGCCAGATGATTGAAGTTTCTATTAGGATTACATTTTGGGAACAATGATAATAATTCTGTAGGTTTAATGATAATTATGGATAAGGATATGTTTGGACCTCAGGTGAAAGTGCTAAATTGGGTGAAGGTTAATTACAACTATCTTAGGCAGGAATTGGAGCTTGGGGGCAGTTGCTTGAGGGGAAATCCAAATCTGACATGTGGGAGTCTTTGAAAGGTCAGTTGACCTGCATGTTCCTCTCAGGATGAAAAATAAAGATGTCAAAATTCAGAAACCCTGGTGACAAGAGATTTAAAAATTAATTCAAAAAGAAAAAGGAAGCATATATAAGGTTTAGGGAATGAAAATCAAACACAGCTCTTGAGGAGTATGAAAGAAGGAGAAAAGTGCTTAAATAAGAAATTAGAAAGGTTAGAAGGGGCTATGAAATATACTTAGCAAGTGGGATCACGGAGAATCCCGAGTAATTTTCTTCAGACATTAGGAGCAAGAGGCTAGCTAGAGAAAAGGTAGGTCACTCAAGGACAAAGGAGGGAATTTATGTATGGTGTCAGAGGAAGTAGGTGAGGTCCTTAAGGAGTACTTTGTGTCGGTATTCACCAAGGAGAAGGTCATGGATGATGGTAAGATTAGGGAGGTCCTGTTCGTGTCTGCAGGCATATCAGTATTAAAAAGGAGATGGTGTTGGGTGTCTTAAAAAACAATAAGGTAAATCAATCCCCAGGGTCTGATGGGATCTATCCCAGGATACTGAAGGAGGCAAGGGAGGAGATTGCTTGGGCCTTGGCAGAGATCGTTGTATCCTCTTCAGCCACAGGTGAGATCCCAGAAGACTGAAGAATAGCCAATGTTATTTCTTTGCTTAAAATGGGCAGCAAAGGTAATCCAGGGAATTATAGGCTAGTGAACTTCATGTCAGTGGTAGGGAAATTATTGGAGAAGATTCTTAGGGACAGGATTTACTCACATTTGAAAAAATGAATAGACTTATTAGGGATAGTCCGCATGGCATGAAGCAGAGGATCTGATTAGTAAGTTTACAGATGACACCAAAGTTGGTGGAGGTGTAGATATTGAGGAAGGCTATCAGAGGATGCAGCAGGATATGGGTTTGGTAGAAAATTGGGTGAAGAAATGGCAGACGGAGTTTATTCCAGACAAGTGTGAGGTGATGCAGTTTGGGAAGTCAAATGAAAGGGGAAAGCATACAGTAAATGGCAGGACTCTTAGGGGCACTGATATACAGAGGGATCTTGGAGTCCAAATCCATCCTTCCTGAAAGTGACAACACAAGTGGGTAAGATGTTAAAGAATGCAAACATTCTTCATTGATCGGGACATTAAGCAGAAAAGTTGGCAAGACATGTTGCAGCTGTATAACGCTTTAGTCAGGCCACATTTGGAGGATTGTATGCAGTTTTGGCCTTCACACTATAGGAACAACATAAAAGCTTTGGAAAGCGTGCCAAAGAGGTTCACCAAGACGTAGCTGGATTGGAGTGTTTTAGCTATAAGTAAAGAATGGACAAACTTGGATTGTTTTCACTACAGTGTTGGAGTGTGAGGGGTGACCTGATAAAACTATACAAAATTGGCGTGGATATGGTCGATAGTCAGGGTCTTTTTCCCAGGGTGGAAAATTCAAATACTAGTGGTCAAATGTTTAAGGTGAGAAGTTTAAAGGTGATGTGCGAGGGACTTTTATTTACACAGAGGGTTGTAGGTGCCCAGAACGCACTGCTCAGGGAGGTGGTAGAAGCATATACGATAGCAATGTTTAAGAGGCATTCAGACAGACACATGGACATGCAGGGAATAGAGGGGTGCTGACCATGTGCAGGCCAATGGCATTAGTTTAGAATAGCATCATGATTAGCACAGACAAAGTGGGTCAAAAGGCCTGTTCCTGTGCTGTACTGTTCTATGTTCTATGACTGAAGAACAGACACCAAGTGTTGTACATAGCCTGTGATCAAGTGTCCAGTAATCTTAAGGGCATCATTACGAGTAACATATTTGTTATGATCAGGTGAGGATGGGGAAATAGTCATATGGCTCCCCTCTTTCCCTCTCCTTGATTGATCACAATAAGTTTTATTTTGTTTTGTCAAGGACATACTTGCCAATTTAATGGATTCTTAACAGCTTAACCACTTTGATTATAAAAGAACTAAATAGTTGGGTTTTCTTGAGTTTAACAAAGAGATTAGCCTTATTATAGGTAAGCTGACCTAAGATAAAGATTAAAAAAATACTCTTGATGTTTGCACAGACCCATGCTCGAAGTTCACGTACATACAAATATAAATTATCTTCTGCAGACTATATTGCTAGGTTGAATTTGAGATAGAGAGAAGAGAGGAAAGAAAGAAGAGTCAGAGAGAGGAAGAAAAATAAACCACTCTGGTCTTCTCTTTCTCTCTTAGCTGCTTGTTCTTATGAGGAAGCACGCATTTATAAAATAGTAAGGGTCAGCTTATGATCTACCCTTTCATCTTCACCTAGCAAAGGAATCCAAATAAAGTCATTGACCATGGTTTCCAAGAGTAATTTGATAAACTAGTGTCTGGAAAACACTTCCAACCAGGTTTCCATTCTCTAAGTGATTAGTCTTAATGGTCCATCTCCAAAAATTGATTGCTGTAATACCTCTTAATGAGTCTCCACATTGCCTAAGAGAACATTGTCTTTGGTGTATTTTTTTCAGATATTTTCCATTCTAATTGGATTTGGATGTAGAATGCACAGCAATGCAAATTTGGGTAACCGTCTTTGGCTGTGATCTCAAGTTTCCTTCAGGCTCTTCTTTTTTAAGTTGTTTTTAAAAGTTAATTTCATTTTTCCCAACTGGTGAATTAAAAATCATTTTTGATGCAAAGCACATCTTAATGACATCATGTTGTTTGAGGGATTGTGGCCTGAATCTTACAAGCAGTGGCAACGATGGGCAGATTGCCACAGCACTTCAAGGTCTCCCTGAATCAACACTAGCACACATTTCTTCCAAGTCCTTATAATCCTAGCTGTCAAATAAATTCATAGTGCAATACCCCTCAGGAAACTCCATTGGACTGGAGTAGAATCAGAGTAAGACAAGACATTCCCTTTTTTGTGGCATTAACTGCTGTCTGGTTTGCTTAAAGGTGTAAGGTTTGAAGTTGAGGAGATGGGAAGTGGCTGAATGAGTGAATAGACAGTGGATAAGTGCATTGGTGGATAGGGTGGGTAAGATGCACAGATTCGTGAATAGCGAGGTGGGTGAATGGCTAGGTGCATGAGTGGTTAATTGGATTGAGATGTAGGTGGGTTGAGTCAGGAGGCTAATGGGATAGTTTGGGGTTGTTGGGTCAGGTCAATAGTCAAGTCAGCATCGTGTCTGGGGAGGTTGACAAGTAAAATCCACCATCAGAGAAGATTTGGGAAATAGTCAGAGTGGCTACAGTGTAACTGGGTGACAAGGGGCATAGTTGGGCTTGTTCAGCAGCTTAGTCCAGTGTTCTGGTTGGGACGGGGTGGTGGCATGGGGGTAGTCAGATTTTTGAGAAGGTAGTCAGATTGGGTCAGTAGCTGGGTGAGTGTGGGTCAGGGCAGTAGTCAGTGGTCAATGTGGTTGGGGGTTAGTCAGGAGGTCGGGTTGGTAGTTGATCAAGTTGGAGGTATGTGCAGATGGGTAGTTGGGTGATCTGGGAGGGAGCGAGGTGTTTGGGTTGGTTGTCAGACTGCGTCAGGGGGATTAGTCAACTGGCTGAGGTTAAATGGGGAGTTGGGTTGGGTTGAGGGTGTGATTTTGGAGATGGTCAGGGATCAGAGAGTGGGGGGGTGGTGAGGGTAATTGGGGAATTTTGTTGTGTTTTTACCCAGGCATTGTCTAACATTTCCTGTGTAACTGTTTAAGTATGAACCATAAAAAGTGTCTCTGAGTGTATATGTGTGTCTGTCTGTCTGTCTATCTGTCTGTGTGTTCAGATCTCTTTTCTTTGCCGTTAGTCCAAGTGTTTGTGTCACTTCTGTTCCCTCGATAATGATTCATGAGTTTCATCCATCCTACCGTGGGAATCCGCAAAGAAAAATAAGCTCCTCCTTCACAAGGGAAAATGGAGGGTGACACTGTGAGGTAACTTTCAGTTTAGTTATTGGGTTGCAGAGAGAGCTGGCCCTTATCTGCAGTCGAGCTGGAGGCAATGCTTGACCCAAGGAGAACATAATTAATACCCCATTAAGATAAAACAGCTGGGTATCGTGTTATTAGTGATATATAAATGTTCCCCGAATTCCATGCCAGCCTAACCCATTTTGGAAACTGTTTATAACAAGGCCTCTTTAACATGGTAAAAGTATTTTGATTTTATTGTGTAAACCATGTGTGATTTCAGTGACACTGTGGCTCCCAACTCTACCTTCACCAAAGTTTACAGCCTGACCCCAACTTTGGCAAACAACCGACAAAAACGCGGCCTGGCCTTGGATGGCAAACTCAAACATCAGGACACCAACCTCGCCTCAAGTACCATGTAAGTTATATTGGTGACAGTCTGCTCCTGGTGCACACCCCATAAAATAAACACAGTGACTCGCTCAAGAAACTGATACAAAATATCAATTAAGGTTTAGAAGTAATCCGATCCAAATTGAGTCAAGCTGGTCAATAACATTCATACACATTCTCAACAACCAGTTCAGCATTATTATTACATATCTCTGGAACAGATGGGACCTGAATTCACACCTCATGGCTCATGGATAGGGAGACTAACACTGTGCCACAAGATCCCTTAATGTTTCCCTATGTTCTGATGATTATCAATAGAATAATTAGGTATTACTGAATAATGACATTTTGTTTCAGCTTTTCATCTTGCATTCCTCAGAACAGTTCTTGCAAATTGTCCTGCAAACAAAATGATCTCCCCAGGTTGGGTGAGTGTGCAAATCAATGGTAGATACAGTATAATTTGGATAAATGTGAGGTTATTCACTTTGGAAACAAAAACAAGAAGGCAGATTGCTACCTGAATGGCTTTAAATTGGGAGAGGGGAGTGTGCAGTGGGACCTGGGTGTCCTTGTGCACCAGTCGCTGAGGGTAAGCATGTAGGTGCAGCAGGCGGTAAACAAGGCAAATGGTATGTTGGCCTTCATTGTGAGAGGTTTCGAGTACAGGAGCAGGAATGTGTTGTTGCAGTTGTACAGGGCTTTGGTGAGACCACACCTAGAATATTGTAGGCAGTTTTAGTCTCAAGGAAGTGCAGCAAAGGTTTACCAGGCTGATTCTGGGAATGGTGGGTCTGACGCATAAGGGGAGATTGACTAAGTTGGGATTGTTTTTGCTAGAGTTCAGACGAATGAGGGGGGGTTCGAATCTCAGAGAGACTTATAAAATTCTAACAGGACTGGACAGGATAGATGCAGGGAGGATGTTCCCAATGGTGGGTGTGTCCAGAACCAGGGGTCACAGTATGAGATTTGGGGTGGACCATTTAGGACAGAGATGAGGAGACATTTCTTCACCCAAAGAATGGTGCGCCTGTGGAATTCATTACCACAGGAAGTAGTTGATGCCAAAACATTGAATGTATTCAAGAGGCAACTAGAAATAGCAGTTGGGGTGAATGGGATCAAAGGTTATGGGGAGAAAGCAGGATTAGGCTATTAAGTTGGATGATCAGCCATAATCATGAAGAATGCTGAGCACACTCAAAGGGCCAAGTGGCCTCCTCCTGCTCCTATCTTCTATGTTTCTGTGTTAAAATCTTTGACAAAAATTTTCTTTCATTTTCGAAAATATTTAAGTTCCACCAAATGTCTATAAAAATAATTGGGACTTTTTTCACAACATTGTATGCAAACTTTTGTTATCAGTGAAACACCTTCATCATAATTCTGCCCTGATATCTCCAATTCTCCTGATTTCACTTTGTGTTCTGACCACCAATCTAACCCTGTACAACTATCTTTACCATCAGCCTCCACCTCAAGCTGTCTCAGCATCATTTCAAGTCTGACAGTCATCCTTATCACAACCTTACTCAATGAACATCCCATCATAGTCCTACCTAAGTTTTGGTCCATCAGAGTTCTTTCAAGGCTCACCATGATCTCAACCCACTGGTGTTTTCCTTGAGCCTTCAGCTTGCCTTGATATTCTGCCTACCCAAACCTTTGTCCAGGGCCTTCACAATCTTTCCACTGTCCAATCTGTCCTCTCCTCCATTGAAACACTACCTAATCTGCTCCTACCTGTCCATAATGTGGTGTGCTAGATCCAATGGGATACCATGAAATGTGAAAGAAAGTGTGAGAAATAATTTGCAATGTGATTGAAGGTAGTTGGTGACAACCAGTTAGACCGAGAGAAAATAAACACTCAAACATCCTGTATACTGCCTGATTGAGGAGAATTTTCGAGACTTAGAGAATGTTCTGGTGTCCAGATCATTTTTGGTTTCAAACTCGTTTGTTCATCTGTTACAAATTTTTGCTTCAATTCATCCTAAGGAAGCCAACTAAAAGCCTGCTTTTGGGATCTGTGTCCAATGAAGAACATCAGGGGGACTGAGAAGGCAGGAGGTTAATTTGGTATACACACCATTTACAGGGATAGTGAGACCTTATAGTACAGTGGGCTTAGTCCCTACTTCTGGGCCAGAGGCTTCAGTTTTGAATCCCATTGAGGGACTTGTGGTCCATGGAATGGACTTTTCCAACATGATTCAATGGGTGGATAATCAGCTTAGAAGTTGAAAGGACAAAGGCAGCTGGCAACTTTCACTGTACTGGGGTGAGAATGCCCATTAGGGAAATGCAGCAGGTAACAGAGGGATATAATGGAGGGACCGGAACGTTGTGGAAAACAGCTACCATTGTATTGCAGTCAGCACTATCAATAGCGCTCCAGGAGATTGTCACGCAATGGCAAGCCTCCACCAGCGGAAGGCCTTGCCACTTAAACATGAAAAGGCCTGGACACCTCAGTCTTCTCTGAACTCCCCTGCCTTCTCTAAATTGTGGAAGTGTGGATAGTCCATGAAGCTCAGCACCACTCTCTAGTGGCTGGGACCCCGGTGTTCTCTCAATAGGGCAACCATTTCATCAAAATAATTTATGAGATGCTGCTGGCTGGGCCAATATTTAGTGTCCATTCCTAGTTGCCCTTAAGAAGGGAGTGGAGTAGTGAGCTGCTTTCTTAAAGACCCCTCCCTCCCCAGTCCATGTGCTTGTAGGAAACCAGGTGGTCCTTCCAGTTTCACATTCATTTGAGACTTTCTAGCAATTGATTCAACTGAGTGGCTTGCTAGGTCGTTTTAGAGGGCACTTAAGAGTCAACCATAATGCTGTGGGTCTGGAGTCACATGTAGGTTAGACCAGGTAAGTACAGTACTTTCCTTCACTAAAGTATATTGGTGAATCAAAATAAAAACCAAAAGAACTGCAGATGCTGTAAATCAGGAACAAAAACAAAGTTGCTGGAAAAGCTCAGCAGGTCTGGCAGCATCTGTGAAGGAGAAAACAGAGTTAACGTTTTGGGTCCGGTGACCCTTCCTCAGAACTGATGGTGGCTGGGAAAATGTCAGTTTATATGCAGAAAATAGGGAGGTGGGTGGGGTAGGGAGTAAATGATAGGATAGAGCCCAAAGAGAGAGAAAGACAGTTGGATAGACAAAGGAGTTGCTAACGATCAGGCTGGGAGGGTGAATAGTTGTTAATGGGGACTGTTAGTGACTAACAACAGTGGGTGTGTAATGGCAGGCTATGTGGTAACAAGGCCTGGTGTGTGGGTTTGGGGGCTGGGACATGGGAGAGTTTAAGCCCTAAAATTATTGAACTCAATATTGAGTCCGGAGGGCTGGAGGGTCCCCAAGAGGAAAATGTGGTGTTGTTCTTCCAGCTTGCATTGAGCTTCACTGGAATACTGCAGCAAGCTAGAGACAGAGATGTTGGCCAGAGAATGGGGTGGTGCATTGAAGTGGCAGACAACAGGGGATTCAGGGTCTTTTTTGCAAGCAGAACGTAGATGTTCTGTGAAGCGGTCAGCCAGTCTATGCTTTGTTTCCCCAATGTAGAGGAGACCACATTGTGAGCAGCGAATGCAGTAGACTAGATTCTGGGAAGTGCAGGTGAAGTGTTGCTTCACCTGGAAGGTATGTTTGGGCCCTTGGATACTGGGGAGGGAGGAGGTAAATGGGCAGGTGTTGCACCTTCGCCGGTTACAGGGGAAGGTGCCTTAGGGCTGTGGGGAGGTGTTGGGGGTGAAGGAAGTGTGGACCAGGGTGTCCCAGAGGGAACGGTCCCTGCGGAAGGCGGACAAGGGAGGGGAGGGGAATATGTGTCTGGTGGTGGCATCTTGCTGGAGGTGGCGGAAAGGGCATCTGATGATCTTCTGGATGTTGGTGCTGGTGGGTTTTTAGGTGAGGATAAGGGGAACCCTGTTGCCGTTGCGGGAGGGAAGAGAAGGGGTGAGGGCGAAAGTGTGGGAGATGGGTCAGACCCAGTTGAGGGCCCTGTCGACAATGGAGCTGGGGAATCCTTGGTTGAGGACGAAGGTGGACATTTCGGAATCTCCCTTGTCGAAGTTGGCCTCATCTGAACATATGCAACGGAGACGGAGGAACTGAGAGAATGGGATGGAGTCTTTACAGGAAGTGGGGTGTGAGGATGTGCAGTCCAGGTAGCTGTGGGAGTCAGTGAGTTTGTAATGGATTTTAGTGGCCAGTCACCCCACACACCAGGCCTTGTTACCACATAGTCTGCCATTACACACCCCCTGTTGTTAGTCACTAACAGCCCCCATTAACAACTATTCACCCTCCCAGCCTGATCGTTAGCAACTCTTTTGTCTATCCAACTGTCTTTCTCTCTCTTTGGGCCCTATCCTATTTACTCCCTACCCCACACACTTCCCTATTTTCTGCATATAAACTGACATTTTCCCAGCCACCATCAGTTCTGAGGAAGGGTCACCGGACCCGAAACGTTAACTCTGTTTTCTCCTTCACAGATGCTGCCAGACCTGCTGAGCTTTTCCAGCAACTTTGTTTTTGTTATTAGTGAATCAGATGGATTTTTCCAATAGTGATTTCACAGTCATCATTCGACTCTTAATTCCAGATATTGTTAAAAACTGAATTTAAATTCCAACCCAAGTTCCCAGATTATTCCTCAAATTAATAGTCTAGCAACAACAACACTGGGCCATCATCTCCCCCATTTTCACCACTTTCTGATGACATTTTGATGGCAGTATTAAAGTTCAGCATTTTCACCTCAAACCTGATTGCATTATGTTTGTGCCAATCTGAAAGCCAACACAACCATTTTGTGCCTGTCATGCTGGAAAATTTGTGGTGTGAAGATTGCATTAGTTGACATTTTGTCACTTCAATGGGGCTTTGTGCCAACATTGGCTGGGTCATTGACATTGGACTCTGCCTGCCCTGGGAAAAGTGTCTGAAAGTGGAAACGCATCAGCAAAACCTGGCCCGACAAATGGTTATTTAATTTTGCTTGCCCTGCAATCTCCAAAGGCATCTCAAAGGGATTGATAAATTCTTCTTCAATCTGTCCAGTCTAGGGTACAACTTCCTTTCCTCACCATGACCACTTTTTCCACTTATGTTTTTGCTTCTGAACCTTTATAGACTCAGTCCACAACTGGATAAAGAGGTCCTTGGAATCCTGGTGTCTTATCTGCTCAGAGTGAAGGTGATAGTTTCCAGGGGAGGGTAAGTCTTCATATTGCAAGCATTGTTTTATGCCAAATGCAAATCTAGATGCGGTGGGATTGGTTAATGAATTTAAAATAAGGCGTTAGATTTAAGACATTTCTGGACACAATCCTGAAAATAAATTGCCGGTGAGACTGATGCTGCCTGATGCACTGTATGGAATGGTTCCACAATCTCCTGTTCTGTATTTGTACACTTTCCCTTTCTATAGATTTATTTATTTGTCACAGGTACTAAGTATCGGAATATATTAAGTACAGTGAAAAGTGCACAAAGTTGCTATTCACTGGCGCCCACTTCGTTGCAAAAACTAGAATTAAAAGATTTAACAGAGCCAAAAGGTAAACAAGAAAAAAAATGCTCAGATCTTAGAGTCCCAAGTCCCACCTCCACAACAGTGCAGGCACCGCGCCAATCACTAGGACACCTGGGGAGGCCACAGCCACCACATGAAAGGCCCATTCTCACCATTCTCACCACCGCCCACTGCCCCCTCACCGGCCCCGCTCTCACTGTCCACTGCCCCCTCACCGGCCCCGCTCTCACTGCCCGCTGTCCCCTCACCGGCCCCGCTCTCACCGCCCACTGTCCCCTCACCGGCCCCGCTCTCACCACCCACTGCTGCCCCCTCACCTGCCCCACTCTTCCTAGTCTCTTTAGATAGAATCTTCACTGACATTTAAGGACAAGCAGATGAAGGGGAAAGGGTTAAAAGGTTAAGTTTGATATGGTGAGATAAAGCAAATACAGTTCAAAGAACCCTTTGTCAGAACTAAACAGTGGCCTCTTACTCAAACATGCAAAACACCTAATGCCTGCTTCATATCTCTTGTTCATTTTTAATGTGAGTGATATGTTTCCAACTGAAAATGGGCACACACTCTCCGCTCATAGTGAAGTAACCCAAGTAGTGTACTTAAATGGGTAGTATCTGGATGATATTTCAAGGCTTATTTCTGTTTCTTATGTTTATTTACCAATCTTGTTGTGTTTGTTTCCTTATTTCTCCTTCTTTTTCTCACTTTATTTTTTCCTTCAGGATCTTGGGAGACCTCACTTCAAGGTAAGTGAGGAAGCATCAGCTATCAATACTCAACAATCCTGACCGTGGGAACAATGTCGCTCCTGAATATACTGCTGGGTTTTATCTTTGATTGTTCAAGAGATGTGAATATCATTGGTAGACTGACCATGTTGCCCTTGATCTTGAGATGGTGAGCTATCTTCTTGAACTGCTACAATCCATCTCCTGCAGGTACACCTGCAGTGCTGTTGGGAAGAGCATTCCGGGATTTTGCACAGCGAATGAATAGTGACATATTTCCAAGTTAGAATGATGTGTGGCTTGGAAAGACACTTGCAACTGGTGGTGTTCCCATGCGTCTGCTGTCCTTGTCCTTCTAGGTGTTAAACACTGCAGGTTTGGCAGCAGATACATCTAGATGATACACTGTGCTATCATTCCTCATGAATGATGGAGGAAGTGAATGTTCAAGATGGTGATTGGGGTATTAATGAAGTGTGTTGTTTTGTCTTAGATGGTGTCAAATTTCTTGTGTGTTCATGTAGCTTGACTCACCCAGACAAGTAGATGGTATTTCATTACACTCCAGAATTGTGGCTCTGATGGTGGACAAGCATTGCTGAGTCAGGAAGTGACTTATTCTCTGTAGAATTCCAAGCTTCTGACCTGCTTTTGTAAACAAAGTATTTAAGTGGCTTATCCAGTAAATTTTCTGGTCAGTTGATATTTTTCACTGGTTAAGCATTCTGATTATAATTATGTTTTCCTCTTTTATGTGACTCTTTTTCTATTGTATTTTAGTGAGGTGTCTGTCGAAATTCCCTTTTGCCTGATGCATCCTAAACCTTTGGAGGGTAAGTACTGTTCAGATACCAGAACACGCTTTTCACTTATTGCAGATTCTAATTCCAGCACCAGGACAACTTACAATCCCAGCTTTAGCGAATATATTATTGAGAATAGTTGCAACTTTGGGCCTGATTGCAATCTTTTGCCAGGAGGTGGATTTTGACCAGGCTGAAAATGAGCCATAGAGTTCAGCAGCCTGCAGGAGAAGCTGGAATGAGTTTCCTGTCAAGCATTTCTATCAGATCAAAACTACATAGAGAGGTTTTGTCATTAAATTCTTTCGTGCAGTCAGAAAATGACAGAAGAGTACACATTCAGGCTCAAAAAGGAAGCTTAGATATCTCCACTAAGCCACTGCTCCTGCCCCTCCGCTTGCCATTCAAGTGACCATCCACAAGACATTGCTGACGACTTGGTCTTAATGGGTAATTTCCACTGTGTGATTTTTTTCCAGTATTTCCCACCAACATGCCACCCATTGGCACACCACCACCCATTGAAAACTGAATTAAAACCAAGCTATCTGCCAATATTGTGCTTTTGTCTTTCTGCTCAGTACTACTTGACCTTTTCATTTTCACAATCTGACACACTGGTTCTCTTCTCGCCTATATTCCACACCAGTTACTAATCTCAAAACAAAATATGGTGGATGAAGGTGATCCAAAATGAAAACTGAAAAGACTGGAAATACTCAACAGGTCTGGCAGTGCCTGTGGAGAGAGAAATAGAGTTAATGTGTCAGGTCTCTAGCTTTCCATTCTGATGAAGTTCACAGTGCCGAAATGTTTCTTTCCTTCCACAGATGCTGTCATTTCCTAAGAAGCTTTAGCAAGACTATAGATTGCATAACCTTCTTTCATCTTTCCTTCTGTCACAATGTTTGTTTGTTTAATTTACTGACTACTCATTTTAAACTTGGTGATGCCTGGATTATTGTTTTTAATCCTAAAACTTGATTTCTCAAACAGTGCTTTCACACCCATAAAGAATTCAAATGAAATTTGTAATCTTGGACTAGTCTGCATTATCCTGCATCTTATTCCGTTTAGCCTCTCAGAAATGTCCCTTAAAACCTGAAAAATTGGGCTACTCATATCAATGCATAAATAGTGAGGAATTCAATTGAAGATAGACAGGGTAGGGAATTAAAACTGAAAAGTACTGGAGAAGCTCAACAAGTCTGGCAGTATCTACAGGGAGAGAAACAGCATTCAAATTTCAAGTCCAGTATAACTTTTCTTCGGAACCCACATCAAACTTGAAACATTAACTTTTCTTTTCAGACATGCTGCCAAACCCGTTGACTTTCTCCAGAAGTTTTTGTTTCTGTTTCTACAATACTTTGCTTTTATTTTATGTGGAAAATAGGATATATCTCCTCTCCACTTTTAAATGCATCGGAAGGAGGCTCTGTGGGTGATAGAAACTAACACAAGTGAACCTTAATTTTAACATGCACGTACATGAATGTTACCACAGGAATTACAGGGCTATGGCTGCAATCTCAACTGCTTCCCCTGCATAATAATAGAATCCCTACAGGGTGGAAGCAGGCCATTTGGACCATCGAGTCGGCACTGACCCTCTGAAGAGCAACCCCTCCCCCCCACCCCCCCGGAACTACCTCCCTACCCTATCCCCATAAATACGGCCAATCCACCTAACCTACACATCCCTGGACACTATGAGCAATTTAGTGTGGCCAATCTACCAGGAGGAAACCAGAGCATCCAGAGGAAACCCATGCAGACATGGGAAGAATGTATAAACTCCACAAGACAGTCATCTGAGGGTGGGAATCAAACTCGGGTGCCTGGCACTGTGAGGCAGCAGTGCTAACCACTGAGCCACTGTGCTGCCATGGGGGTCTTGGGAACTAAAGTTAAATTTTATAAAAATTTCATTCATGGGATGAGGGCATTGTTGGTTAGGCCAGCATTTATTACCTGTCCCTAATTGCCCAGAGGGCAGTTAAAAGTCAACCACATCGCTGTGGGTTTGGAGTCACATGTAGGCCAGACCAGGGAAGGATGGTAGTTCCCTTCCCTAAAGGACATTAATGAATCAGATGGGTTTTCCTGACAATTGACAATGGAATCATGGTCAAGATTAGACTTACAGATTTTTTTTGTTTTTAATTCAAATTCCACCATCTGCCATGGCAGGATTCAAACCTGGGCCCCCAGAACATTATCTGGGTCTCTGGATTAACAGTCCAGCGATAATACCATTGCCTGCCCCTTAATCAGACTAATCTAGCTTTTTGATACAGTCACATTAATGACCATTGCAGCAGCCTCAGCCTAGAGGATATACATCACATGGTACTCAGCTTAGCTATTGCCTGATAGTTCTGCCTCAAGAATGATTGAGAACAAAGTATTGTAGATTTGATCTAATTTATGACATCGGTGAACAGCACACTACCATTTACTAACCTGCTATTTTCTCCCTTTTTATTTCTTTCACTGCTTCAATTAATTTCCAGTCAATGTCTGGTAAGTCTGCAATAAAGAAAGAGAGCTGTTCTCATATGATATATGGATGGTTTCTATACTCATTGAAAAACAGCTATTGGTCATATCATGCCATCAAGGTAATGGCACTCGCCATTGTAAATTTGTAAATGGTGCAACTTCAGACGTAGAGCAGAAGCAAGGTTATATTTGAAAATTCAAAATTTCTTGTCACAGCCACATCAGTCAAGCATTAGGTTTGTAAAAACTGTGTTACACTGACTGCCATCTTCTCCCTACTGCCTCCCACCATGAAAACCATGAATTTGCTGTATTCCCACAAGAGATACAAACTAAACCTACTGCCAAAGTTACATTTTATCCAATTCAGTCAATATTATAAGTGTTAATTACTGTGTCAACCTCTCTGTGTTGCCTCATTGCTTCAGGTTTTAATTGTTGTTGGAGATTTTAAAATGCAACATAAAATGATTTTAATTTTTCTTTCTATTCTCTTTAATCTAATCCTTCTTGCTCTCTTTATTGCCCTCTGTGATTTTACATTGCATTCACTCTAATTTACACTTCCTTCTCAGTCACAGAGTCATAGAGTCCTACACAGAAGGGGGCCTTTGATCTATCAAGTCTGTTGCTGACCAATCTACACTAGTCCCAGTTTCTGGCACATGGCCCATTGCCTTGACTGTAATGACATTTCAAGTGCTCATTCATGCACTTTTTAAAGGTTGTGAGGTTTCCCCTCAGTCGTGATGCTATCAATACCACAATCCTTTAATCTATTTTTCATTCATTCTTGGGAATGCAGGCATGTCTGGTTGGGCTAGCATTTATTGCCCATCCTTAGTTGCCCAAGGGGAAGTTAAGACTCAACCACATTGCTGTGGGTCTGGAGTCACATGTCGGCCAGACCAGGTAAGGATGGAAGTTTCCTTCCCTAACATGAACCATCTGACAATGGTCATCATTAGACTCTTAATTCCAGATTTTTATTGCATTCCAATTCCACCATCTGTCGTGGCGAGATCCAAACCTGGGTCTCTGAATTAACAGTCCAGCCACAATGATATAGTGGTGGGCAGTTAGTTGCCAAGTTCACTCAGATTCCAGGTGCGTTGATTCTGTGATGTTACCCGTTCATGATTCCAGCAACTAGCCGCACAAAAAAACAGAAAAATCTAAACGGTACAAGGGTGGATTTGACAAATGGTGGATGGTATTGGATGTCCTACCCAATGGCTTGTTATGTCATAAATCTGCTCCATCATTGCTGGCATTAATTTAGAGGAGGTATGCTTCATAAGAAAAGAAGCATTCAGTATTCCATGTAAAGTCACTGCATATAATTTCATATATAATATATATCATACATACATATTTAAAAAAAGGTCATTTCACAACCTAAGGACATCAATTTTTATCCAATGAATTAATTTGGAAGAATACATCGTGACTATTTTAACTTTGGAAATTGGACGGCCAATTTAAAAAGCAATAAGATCTCATAAACACCAGTAAGAGGTAACTTTTGTTAGTGATGTAGATTGGGGGATCAGTATTGGTCAGGACACCAAGTAAAATAGTCGCACTTTTTCTCAAATATTGACATATTTTGTGTCTACCTAAGAGAATTGGAGATTTATTGTCTCATCTGAAAGACCGACATCATTGATGGTGCAGCAGTCTCTCCGTACTGGACTGAAGTATTGGCCTGGATTAAGCGCTCAAATTATTACGCTCAAGATGTAGTTGCCTTGTGTTCTTGAAATGAATGGTGGGTTCAGCTGAATGTAAACTTCCTTGGTTTGTTTGACCAACAGGTTCGTTCAAAAGTCAGAGACATAGTGGAGCTTGCCTATTATTGGAGAAAGTTAACTGAAACATGTTCCGATTTAGAGTTGTTCACAACTGTAAGAAAGATAGCCAAGTGCTAGAAGTAAAGTACCAGAGGGAAGAGAAGGAAACTCTTTTTGATAAATCAAATCATTACAATGTGGCATGCACAGCCTGAAAATCAGATTCTCCAGTAGCTTGTACAAAGAATCTGGATAAGTAATTGAGAAGAAACTGTGAGGTGATGAAGAAAGAGTAGGTGAATTGGATTTTGGGAAACTTCAAAGATCCAGCATGTGACCCATGAGCTCAATAACCTCTTTCTATGTTGTAGTATTTTATTTCCAGATTTTTAGTTTACAAGATTGAGATGTATGGGCTTCTTTCTGTCCCTGAAGTTTATAATACACTCCATACATTGCTGGCCTGATCTGTACCACCATCTCTATCCATTTGCTGGATCCTATGTAAATACAATGCTTTTTCTCTGTAGCTACTCCATTCAAGTATTAGCTCAATGATTTTAGCTGGTCTGGTTTCTAAATTGTTCCATTACTCCCACATTTTACTTAATAGAATAATGAATGTGTGTCAAATCCACATTTGTAAAATACTGAGAGTGATTTTTTAAATTTAAAATGTAAAGGTTGTGGATTTGAACAGCACATCCTGTTAACTGAGAGCACACAGTGAGAAAATATTGCTAACTGTGGCTTTAGTTTTTCTGAAGCTGGGTTTGCACTGGTCGAGTCTGATTCCATCATCCAAATCTAAACCAATGCTTATTTTAACACAATTAGCCCAGGCCATGCAGATCTCAGGTCTTGCATTCTGTCTTTTTTATTAATGTCCATTAGAAATCCAAAAGATTTACAAGGTTGTTGACAGGGTTGGAAGGTTTGAGCTACAGAGAGAGTCTGAATAGGGTGGGGCCATTTTCCCTGGAGCGTGGAAGGCTGAGGGGTGACCTCATAGAGGTTTATAAAATGATGAGGGGCATGGATAGGGCGAATAAACAAGGTCTTTTCCCTGGGGTAGGGGAGTCCTAAACTAGCGGACATAGGTTTAAGGTGAGAGGGAAAAGATTTAAAAGGGACCTAAGGGGCAACTCTTTCATGTAGAGGTTGATGTGTGTATGGAATGAGCTGCCAGAGGAAGTGGTGGAGGCTGGTACGATTACAACATTTAAAAGGCATCTGGATGGGTATATGAGTAGGAAGGGTTTAGAGAGATATGGGCCGAATGCTGGCCAATGGGACTAGATTTATCTAGGATATCTGGTCAGCATAGGTGAGTTGGACCGAAGGGTCTGTTTCCATGCTGTACATCTCTATGACTCTATGACCAGGAACAATCAAAGCTGTTCTCTTCTGCATGGCTTTCTGTTTGACTGATTTTCTATCAGTTGGTCTTCTTTGAATTTCGTAGGCTTGAAGTTCTGCAAAGCCCTACCCTTATGGCTGTTCCCTTATTAAAAGTGATTAAGTTTGTTGTTAAGCCAGTTGAGAGGACACTGCTGAATATTAACCTTTCCAAACCCCAGGCCTCTATAACTGAAATGAGAGAACCAAATAATTACAGATAAAAACTCTTGCTTCAGCACCAAAGACTTATCAGCTGAAAATTCTTTATTTTTTCAATGCAGGTTTTCATCATAGAACATAGAAAAATAGGAATGGGGCAGGCCATTCAGCCCTTCAAGTCTGTTCTAGTATTCAACGAGGCCATGGCTGATCTGTGCCCTAAATCCATATATGTGCCTTAGGCCTATATTCCTCAATAACTTTGCTTCACAAAAATTATCTATTTCTGATTTAAAAAGAAACATCTGATCCTGCATCCACTGCCAATTGTGGAAAAGAGTTCCAAACATCCACCACCCTTTGTGTGTAGAAGTGCCTCCTAACATCTCCCCTGAATGGTGTGGCCCTAATTCTTAGACTATGTCCCCTTCTTGTAGAATACCCAACCAACAGTAATAGTTGGTCTTTATCTACACTGTTTTATCCATTTAATATTTTGAAGACTTTGATCAGATCACCCTTCACCTTTCTAAATTCTGGAGAAAACAGGCTCAATTGGCCTAATCTTTCCTCATAACTTAATCCCTGAAGTCCAGCTATCATAGAGCTCATTATTTTGGTACATCAGTTCTTTGGTGCCTGTTGGATTGCAAAAATATTGGGTAAACAATGGCCACTCATTTGAAATTGGTACTTTTTCCTTTCATAAATACAGAAAGTGCTGGAGAGACTTAACTGGTCCGGCTGGATCTGTTAATGATTCTAATCCAAAATGACTCTTCTTCAAGAATTTTAAACTGATTAAAGCTAGATAAATGCTTTGGCAACATGCTTTATTTTTCAGCTGTATTGGCAAGATGGCTGTTGGGTAGATCAGTGGTAGTTAGTAATTGATCTTAGGAGATATATGTTTCCTGAGAGAAACCAAGACTTATATTTTTGTACCGGAGACTTGGGAATGTGGAAAAGCAAAGGATTTCAGATCTAGCTTCATTAGAACAGTGCTTCCCAAAGTGTGAGTTGCTACCTGAAATGGGGTCATGAGTTGAAATTTTTAGGTACAAGGCGGTATCAGCTGCCATGGATTATAGGAACAGGAACAGGAGTAGTTCATTCAGCCCTTCGAGCCTGCTCCACCATTCAATAAGACCATGACTGATCTGTGGCCTAACTCTATATGTCTGCCTTGGGCCTATACCCCTTGATACCCTTGTTTATTAAAAATTTGTCTATCTCAGATTTAAATTGAACAATTGAATTAGCATTGACCACTGTTGAGGAAGAGAGTTTCAAATCTTCACTACTCTTTGTCTATACAGATGCTTTCTAACATCTCTCCTGAATGGCCTGGCCCTAATTCTTAGAATGTGCCCCCAGTTATGGAATCTTGATCCAGTGGAAATAGTTTATCTTTATCTCCCCTGTATTTCCCGTTAATATCATGAAGGCCTCAAGTAGATCACCCCTTAACCTTCCAAATTCTAGAGAATAAAGGCCTAGTTTGTCTAATGTCTCCTCATAACTTTACCCCTGAAGTCTATGTATCATCTTTGTAAACCTGTGTTGAACTCCCTCCAGGGTCAAAGCATCCTTCCTGAGGTGTAGTGCACAGATCTGCTCACAGTACTCTAAGTGGGGTCTAACTGGGGTTTTGAGTAACTGTAGCATAATGCCTGCAATGCTATACTCCAGCCATTTAGATACGAACCCTATCATTTCATTAGCCTTCTTGTCTATTTTCTGCACCTGCTCATGGCATTTTAAAGAGCAATGCACCCGAACACCCAAATCCTGTTGGACATCCACCGTATTTAACTTTGTGCCTTGCAAAACCAACCCTCATCTATCCTATTTTGGTCCAAAATCAATAGTCTCACGAAGGGCAGCATGGTATCTCAGTGGTTAGCACTGCTGCCTCACAGCACCAGGGATCCAGGTTCGATTGCAGCCTTGAGCAACTGTCTGTGTGGAGTTTGCACATTCTCCCCGTGCCTATGTAGGTTTCCTTCAGGTGCTCCAGTTTCCTCCCGCAATCCAAAGATGCGCAGGTTAGGTGGATTGGCCACGCTAAATTGACCATAGTGTCTAGTGTGGGAAATGTAGAGATAGGGTAAGGAGGGGGGTCTGGCTGGGATGCTGTTCGGAGGGTCAGTGTGGACTCGATAGGCTGAATGGCCTGCTTCCACACTGTAGGGAATCTATTCTATGATTCTATTTGCTTAATGTAAAATTCATCTGCCTCAGCTTTGTCCAATCTATCAAAATCCTGTAGTACTTTTATGCTGTTGTCAACTCTGTCAATAATGCTGTCCAATTTTGTGTCATCAGGAAATTTGATATTTGATTTTTTAAATCATTATCCAAGTCGTTCACGAATAATGTGAATAATTGAGGCACCAACACAGATCCCTGTGGGACAGCAGTAATCACATTGTGCCAATTTGAATACTTACCTATTATTCCAACTATTTCCCACCACTCAACCAATTTCCTATCCATGTTAGTAATTTGCCGTCAGTTCCGTGGGCTTCCACCTTAGCTAACAGTTTCTTGTGTGAGACTTTATCAACAGCTTTTTGGAAGTCCATATATACAACATCTAACAATTTACCTCTGTCTGCCACTAAACTCTGAGATTTGTCAGGCATGACTACCCTGCATGAATTCATGCTGACTCTCCTTAATTTACAGAAATTTTTCGAGATGATCAGTTACTTTATCCTTGATTATAGACTCCAACAATTTTGTCACCCACAGATGCCAGGCTAACTGGCCTGTAATTCCTTGGTTTCCATCTGTCACCCTTCTTAAACAGCAGAATGACATGAGCAAATTTATAATCCAGAGATACAATTCCTGAATCCTGGATAGTCTGAAAGATTATGGTTAGGGCATTAACAATGTGCTCTCCTACCTCCTTTAACACATATGGATGGAAACCATCAAGTCCTGGGGATTTGTTACTCTTCGGTTCCATTCATTTCCTCATTAATGATGAACTGACATAAATGGCTACAAAGTAGCTTTACGTCCTTGTAGTTTTCTTTTTCTTTTGAATTGTTGACATAGCCACAGTGACCTATCATTGAGACTTAGCTCCTCTAGACTTAAAAAGGTGGTCTTAACATACTTTCACAGAAACAATGAAATCTGTTCATAATCCTCTATCGATTCCATGTCTCCTCCTCTAACAGATCTCCCTCTTCCATAATTCAAACCCTCTACCCCTAATCACCTTTACCCTTCACCTGGTCTTGCAGGTCATCCCCTGCCCATCCGCCATGGAATCCCAGTTCTCACTGAGGGATCACGACAATTTTCCAGCCCTGAAATGGGGCTCTAGTGGGAAAAGTTATGAATCTTCTGCATTGGAAAATAAAAACAGTGCCTTAAGTGGACATGGCTACTTAAATGATCCAGTTCAATACTAACTTTTAGACCAAGGGGTATGGAATACATAAGTTGCCATGTAATAGGAAATCTGTGTGAAATCGCAACGTAGTAATCTGAGGGCTGTGTACGTTTTTAAATCCAACGTTTAGAGTATGTCATGAAGGAATAGCAAGAGGACAATGCAGATTTAATAGGTTCTGCCTGGTTTAAGAAATTACAGACACAAAGAGAGACTTAAAAATTGGGAGAGAATTCTTGAAGAAGGGTCTAGGCCCGAAACGTCAGCTTTCCTGCTCCTCTGCTGCTGCTTGGCCTGCTGTGTTCATCCAGCCCTACACCTTGTTATCTTAAAAATTGGGACTCCTTTTACCAAGCGTTAATACAGGGATTTGAGGGAAGAATTTAGGTAGAGAAACATTCTGTTTCCAACATTGGTAGTTGCAGTACAACCATGCACAAAGAAAAGATCCAAGGAAGAGATATAGGACAAAGTGCTAAATAAGCATTTTTTTCAAACACATTAGTCAGGTTTAGAAATGTAGTTAAACACCAAGGTGTCATCAGAATCTAATTTGCACGTTTAGAAAATGGCCTCATGGGAAGAAAAATCTCAGGGATCAAGGTAAGAAGGGATCCCAGAGCTCAGGGAGTAGAGAGAGGGCACTGGGGTCCAAGTTCTGTGAGGAAGGCAGTGTGGAAGGAATGGTCCAGTGGCATCTTGTGTGGGGTGCCCCAGATGCACGCAGGCCACTCCCCGAACGAGGTGTCCCTCTCCTCCCCACTTTTCTTTCACTCACACGTTTAAAAACACACACATACCTGCTCCTGTTCCACTGCCCATATCAGCTGGGTTGGCACAGGCAGAAGTTTTTAAAACCACAACTGAACCTCAATTACAAACCTGCGTCTGGAGGCTGAGCTGCTGATTCTGACACATGCTCACACTCCATATTACTGGGGTGGGTGAGAAGGCAGCAGGCTGGGCCCCTGACATATTTTACATGCTTCCCCTGCAACCCCATAAAGTAACAGTGGTGTGGCATGTAATATCCAGCCCATATTCCGTGCAGTGTGCTATAATGGCTTCTCAAAACAAAGTGAAAGCAACTTTCAGGACAGGTCACATGACTATGATTAATCAGAGCCGTGTACGTACATTTCTCCAAATCACTCGATCAATCAAAGTACAGAACCTTAAGGAAGGAATTTAATTGGGTGTCTCGGGGGACATCCCCTGGGGTATGTGGAGGAATGTTGGAGATCATCGTGTGTCGGCCAGGTAGGAAGGGAGCAGCCAGCATGGGGAGGTGGTGAGGATATCATTCTTGATTCTGAAAGGGAACCATTAATGGAGGATCCTGGGCTCGAGCCTGAGCCGGAGAACGCCCCTCCCCACCCCCCACCCCCCCAACGTTTCCCTTTGTCCCTTTACCCCAATAAGGGAATGAAGGGTTATTGGGAAAAGGCAGGAAAGGAGAGTTGAGATTTATCAGATCGGCCGTGATCTCATTGAGTGGCAGAGAAGACACGAACAGCTGAATGGCCTACTTCTACTCATATGCTGATGGTGTGCCCCTGAAGCCCTCCCACTGACCTCCTAATTGTGGCCAGAGTGGAAAGTGGCTTTGTGGCTGTTAATTAGTTGTTTAAGGGTCCTACCTGGGGCAAAGGCAGCCAGGCTGCCCTAAGCCCTACCAATCACCAACAAAACTGCGGACTGGTCAGGACCAGAAACGGTTGACAACACAGAGGAATAGGCACCCAAGAAATTTTAACCCCCTACTCCACCTTCCAGCCTGCAAGCTAACTGGTGGGGCTGCAATACTCTGTCCTGAATGTTTACTTGTTTCACAATGTCTTCTTCTGTTCATTAAAATGTTAAAATGTTGCAGGCTCTTTAGAGATAGTAAGAACTGTCGATGCTGGAGTCAGAGATAACACAGTGTGGAGCTGGAGGAACACAGCAGGCCAGGCAGCACCAGCGGAGCAGGAAAGTTGACATTTCGGGTCGGGACCCTTCTTCAGAAATGGGTCCCAACCCGAAATATCAACTTTCCTGCTCCTCTGATGCTGCCTGGCCTGTTGTGTTCCTCCAGCTCCACACTGTGTTATCACAGGACTTTTTTTTAGTACTTTTTACATTATAGTTAAAAAAGTTCACAAAATTGACAAGAGTATGTCATTAAAACCTAAACCTCTTCTACCAGAATGAGACCACCTTCAGGATTGCTAACATATTGATTTACACCAAGTTTTTATTATATGCCAGCAACCATGAAAACCATTGGTGAAGCTGCAATAGAAAAGAATGAAAAAAATTTCTCCCTTTTTTCCTAGTACTGAAGACATTGTGATTGAAGAATTCAATCGTCCAAAGCTTGACGAAGAACAAGACGATGAAGACGAAGAACCTGCAGCCGCAGAAGGAGAAAACTAAACGCAGGAAAACAGATAGGCAGCAGGGAGGAGGTCTTAAGTTTATGCATGGTTTTGATATGCTCAATCAGAATATCAGAAAATAAACAGAAACTTTTCTTCGTGTCCAAGAAAGTAGTCTAGTCATCCGTCCAGTTTTAAATTGCACAGTCTGATGTTTGGCAGTGCTATTGCAAAACTTCTGAAACATATGACAGATACCCTTCATCACCAAGAACACAGATTGGAAATTTGAGCCCATTGTCCATATGGCCACATTCTGGCAATTTATTGAGCTCGTAACCTAGATACTCAGTGTAGTGCTCTGGCCGCAACGGGGCAAGTCATGACTGCTGGTGAAATTTGATTTCAATCAATATAAAATCTGGAAATAAAGGCTTGTCTCAGTAAAAGTAACCATGAATCTACAGTTAATTGTTTTAAAAACTCATTTCATTCATTGCTGTCCTTACCTGCCTGGATTACATCTGACTCCAGACCCAAAGCATTGTGGTTGACACCCAGCTTCCCTTTGAAATAGCCTGTTAAGCCACGTAATTAGGAATGGACAACAAATGATGGCCTTGCCTGTGGCACCCACATCCCATCAAAGAATTTTTAAAATTACAATTTTTCAATCATTTATTAAATACTTGTGAAATAACATACAACATTCATCTCCATTTCTAATCTGTGTTCCTGGTTGGAGAGGCTGCCTAACGCTACACCAGTTTGGAAAAGTTCTAGCTCAAAGTCTTCTACTTCAGTAAGGGGTCCACTTTTCCGCTTTCCACTGTATCTTAGAGGAGGATCAGTATAGAAGGAGGTCATTCAATCTTATTCCACAATGTAAATGAATGGTAATCTGTATCTTAGACTGCATTTATCAGCCTTGTTTGATGTCCCTTAATGCCCTTGCCTAACACAGGTCTATCAATCTAATGTTTTGAATTTTTCAATTGCTCTCGCATCAAGATTTTTGGGAAGCGATGTCCAGATTTTGCTACCTTTTTGTGTGAAGTTTGAAATTTAGAGCTAGCAGTTAATCATGTTTTCAGTCAATTTTTAACTTTGAAAATAACATTGGAATTCAAGGCATGGTTGGTCCATGGTCTAGTCTATCCTATTCCCTTCTCACTTCGGATTTGAATAAATGTAATGACTCTAGTACATTTTAGATGACTTGTTATAGCAACCATTAACCAAAGGGTATTTTTTTCTGATTGGCAAAGTTCAGCTACAGCATGTAGTTCAGGTTTATAGTTCATTGGTTTGAGCTTATTTTTCAAGTAGCACTAACATTTTCAAAGTGATGTTTAGAAGAAACATTTCGTATTAAACAGGCATTTTTAAAAGCCTTTCCCTTCCCATCAGTTCAGTGATACGAAGATAACCAAAATGAGTGATGTTAAAACCTCCGCTCATTGTCATTCTGATACCCTTGTGTCTAGTTTTAGCACATAGCTGACCCTTTCTAGTTTTGAATCTACATTATCTGATATGGCTGATATGTCCAAACAGACTACCTGCTTTAAAATTACCTGTCACTCAATTTATGTTCCCTTGTTTTACTTTCCTAGTTTGTTTTGATTAATTTGCATATTTGATATGTTATATAAGCAAATGAAGCTTTGTACTTTTTTCTGATTTTTAGATCTTGACTTTCTGTAAAAGCATGTTGTAGTTCAACTCCCGAGTACCTCAGATCTGTCCCATTGGTCACCTCTGTAAGACACAAAAAGCATTTTGCTGTTGGTGTGTTTCATCCCAAAATGGATAGAGTGCAGTGTAAAGCCTCAGTACAGCTTGTGCTGATTGGCACTGTGCTATTCCAGATATAGATCCCAGTTTTATAGATATTAGAAAGTGGCAATTCTCCTAGTATGAAATCTCTTTCTAGGTTGGGCTGCACTGAATGTATCCAATTTTTGGTACACTTACCAGATGCATTTTGACCAATTTGTAATACAGTGTTAAATCTAAATTGTAATTTGAAAAAAATATATACAAAATTATAGCAGCTAATTTCTAGTTGATTAAGCAAAAAAAAGAATAAATAAACCTCTAGTTTTGGTATGCTTTGTTAGTCTGCCCAGCAAGTAAAGTGTGGTGGGTGGATGATTAGTCATTTAGTATATCTGGTGCTATCACTACGTGGAATTATCGGATGAGAGTTTCACCATGGTACCAAGTGACTGAGCTAAGAAAATTGTTTTCTTTGACAATATCTAAATGTAATATTTAAGTTAACTGATGCTTTTAACTCAAAATTGAATAAGTTTGTCTGCTAAGAAGATGTAGCTATGAGAATATGTTGGCTGTAATACTTTAGTCATTAATTTTAGCTTCTGTTGAAACAGCAAAATACTAATCAGTGATAGTTCTTTGAAATGATGTGATGTGCTATGACATTGTTCAAGGATAATGTTTATCGAGTAGTGAAACACAATTGATTTATAAACTACACCCGCTTGATAAAATAACAATTCCCAATTAGAAACATTTCTCATGCCTTGATATTATTTAAACTGTAAACTAATTTTGTGTGTCTTTAAATGACCTAGTTTGTGATTGTCATCAAACGTTATAATGAAATAAAAACCGTTGCATAACTACCTTCACACTAGTCAATATTTATAAATTATAATCTGACTTTTTTCTCTCTACAATATTTAATCTTTGTGATTCAGATTTGTTCACACACGCAGTTTTCAGTGATGGTCATGGGGTAGTCCTTTAATACAAGCGTCCTAGTTATCTCTGTTTTCATGTCTACCTCAGTGATATCTTCAGCCCTACTCGCTTCTATTACGCTGATGTCCAAGTTAAATTCAGCTAACTCAACACTGATTCAAACCAAACTATTGGGTTCATTGTTACTCAATATAGTACCCACAGAGTCACTGGGCGGATCAAGTTATGAAATTTTGAACAGATTTCTGGAGTTGTGGGCGAAATGTATCACTTTCAGAAACAAATAAAAGGGATATGAAATCTGCAATTCATACTAATCCCCACGAGGTGGCCACAGACTCTCACATTTGAGATGTTGCTCCAGTAGCGTTCTACCCGAACACAGTGCTAGAAATTAAATACTTTGATAATATGATAAGAAATTCCATTAAAATTTTTCTGAGAGCCACCCAATAATGTTAACTAAATAGTTGACCACTAAAGAATTTAGGAAGTAAGGATTAGATACTGAAACTCAGAATGGAGAATCTTATATGTTAAATTATAAATAATGACATTTATTACAAAGGTTTTGTTGAGTATTTTGTTTTTCCGGTTGAAGGTGACCAGGTAATTTTTCGATGAAATCTTTCTATTCCTTCGGCAGAATGTTGTCAAAAAAGAATTGAGTCAAATGTTCACCAGATCTTTTACCCCCAGTTAATACTTGGCAAAATAATCTCAAAATTGCTGCATTAAGAACATAGAACATAGAACAGTACAGCACGGTACAGGCCCTTCGGCCCACAATGTTGGGCCGACCTATTATCCTACTTAAATCAAACTACCCTGCATACCCTACGTTATACTATCCTCCATGTGCCTATCCAAGAGTCGCTTAAAACTCTCTAAAGTATCTGACTCCACTACCACTGCCGGCAGTGCATTCCACATCCCCACCACTCTCTGTGTGAAGAACCTACCTCTGACATCTCCCTGACACCTTCCTCCAATCACCCTCATAATAGTCATTTCCGCCCTGGCAAAAAGTCTCTGGGTATCCACTCTATCTATGCCTCTCATCATCTTGTACACCTCTATCAAGTCAGCTCTCATCTTCCTTCGCTCCAATGAGAAAAACCTGAGCTCCCTCAACCTTTCCTCATAAGACCTGCCCTCCAGTCCAGGCAGCATCCTGGTAAATCTCCTCTGCACCCTCTCTAAAGCTTCCACATACTTCCTATAATGATGCGAGCAGAACTGAACATAATATTCCAAGTGTGGTCTAACCAGTGTTTTATAGGGCTGCAGCATAACCTTGCGGCTCTTAAACTCAATTCCCCTGCCAATGAAAGCCAGCACACCATATGCTTTCTTTACAACCCTATCAACTTGGATAGCAACTTTGAGGGATCTATGGATGTGGACCCCAAGATCCCTCTGTTCCTCCACACTGCCAAGAATCCCATCATTAACCCTGTATTCTGCATTCAAATTCGACCTTCCAAAATGAATCACTTCACACTTTTCCAGGTTGAATTCCATCTGCATCCTGTCAACATCCCGCTGCAACCTACAACAGCCCTCCACACTATCCACAACTCCACCAACCATCATTTGTTTACCAAATACTATGTATAATCAACATCACTGCTGGATAAAATAAAACACATGTGATCCGATAATTCTTTTCCTCAACCTGATTTACTCTCTTTCCTTTCATAATATTTTGTCCTTATGTCATCAATATTGTGATGGCCATCATACCTTCAACCCTGCATTTATTTGTCCAAGTACGCAATCCTACTCATTCTGGTCACTGTATACATTTGGGCCAAAGTTAACGTTGGTCTTCACTCTTAACTTCTTGACTCCTTCGCCCTTCTCTATTGTTTTTGGAATGACAAGTGATGTCACATTTATTGTCCAGTGGGTGGGTGTTCTTTAAAGCAATGAATGTACAACAGAGTGGCTGATAGACCACTTCAGTGGGCATTAATGCTCAACCATCTGATATCATTACATGTGGGCCCGGCAGGTATGGCTGGAAGGTCTCAATGGTTATTAATAATCTGTGTTGATCCTTAACTGGCAGATTTCTTACTAATTTTATTTCTCACGCTAAACCAGAATTTAATTGAATTAATGAAATCAATTGTATTGCTATGATGCAATGCAAAATCCTCAACCCTGAGCTGTTAATCTAGAAACGTATTCATTATACCGATTGCCTTTGGATCTTTTAAACCTAAATTTTAAACCCTAAGCTAGGTGTGTAAATTATGCACCGTGTTTTTACTTATTATCTTCCTTCCTACTCTTTTTAACTGTGATGGTGTCCTTGAGTGTCCAGCTTGTCCATTTCGTCTTATTTTATCCTGACAGTAAGAGCTCTATTCTGAATGTGTTATTACTACTGTTAAGATGTCATTGATCAGAAGATCAAATTTTATTTGTTTTAGTCCTTCATGTAGATCGCAAGGATATTCATTGAGAAAATCAATCTGCTGAACAATGCCTCTATGTAGATCATCAGAAAACTTAACACAGCCATTAATAAATATGCTTTTCCTGTTGAGTTGGTTGGCTCGCCGAGCTGGTTTGTTGTTCCGCAGATGTTTCGTTACCGTGCTTGGTAACATCCTCAGTGCAGCCTCTGATGAAGCGTCGGTGTGTTTTCCCGCGTGGCTTTTAAACTCTGGGGTCCATTGCGATGGATTGCCTCACTTCCGGGTTTCCTCCATAGTGGAATGTATATGGGGTTGAGTTCAATGTGTTTATTAATAGCCTGCTT